CTCCCCCCACCCTGGCCCTTTTCCGTCAAGTCACGTCAGCATTCGGCACATTAGGACAGCAGTCGTCTCGTCACCCTTGAGAACATCGCGGAGGCGGCTTCCAACTTCTCATTCGCCAAATGACAACCATCATACGGTCCTCGGTCGGTGGGCTCCGCCAACCTGCGAAGCCAACGGGAGAATCACATCCATTGCCACACCCACAGTCAAAACACCAGGCCCAGTATAAACAAGATGAAGGGTAGTTCTTCGGATATTGATGGTGGAGCCCATGCTATGTCAAGGATCATGACGGTAGACGGTCCATGTGGTCAAACTAGAGGTCTGGGATAGACATTACCTGAGGCTGCTCAAGTCCTGGCGCAACGGCTGGGCAAATGGGCTTGCTTCCCCAGTTCACGCTATATGCACGCGCATCTCCAAACAACGGCTACAAACATGCTTCCGCATCACACTGATTGGTAGCTCTTGGGTTCGCGTGTAGCCATATGCGGATTCGCTCAGGATTTGGGTGTCTAAAGGGCTAGGCGGCTGGGGCTGTTTGCTTGATCACTCGCAATGTCTTTCTTACATCCGCATTTCATCTCATCGAGCCCACGCATTCTTCACTGCCCTCATGTTACGCTTACTCGTTCATATCCAGGTATCATGGATTGCTCAAAGATGAAGTTGACTAACGTCTTGCGCGTGCGCTTGTGTCTTATAGGAAGATGTTCATTGGTGGCCTGAACTGGGAGACTACAGACCGTAAGCCTTGCCATTTTCCCTGTCCTCCCCTCATGGTGATGGTTGCCCTCAAGGGGCACCATATGTACCATATGGTATTCATGACAGATGGACTGATACCGGTCTTGTGACTTTTTAGAATCACTGAGAGATTACTTCTCGCAGTTCGGCGAGGTTGTAGAATGCACCGTTATGAGAGATGGCGCCACCGGTCGCTCGCGTGGCTTCGGATTCCTTACCTTCAAGGACCCAAAAACAGTGAACATTGTTATGGTCAAGGAACACTACCTTGACGGCAAGATCGTACGTTTCCCCGCCATAGCTCGTCTAACCCGTCAAATAAGTGGCCACTAACTCATTCTCCTTATAGATCGACCCGAAGCGCGCCATTCCCCGCGATGAGCAAGAGAAGACTTCCAAGATCTTTGTTGGCGGCGTTTCTCAGGAGACTACGGACCACGAGTTCCGCGAGTACTTTGCCCAATTCGGCCGTGTCGTCGATGCCACCCTCATGATGGATAAGGACACTGGCCGTCCCCGTGGTTTCGGCTTCGTCACCTTCGAGTCCGAAGCCGGCGTTGAGGCGTGTCTCTCTGCCAACCTTGAGATCCATGGTAAGCCCATCGAAGTCAAGAAAGCCCAACCCCGCGGCAACCTGCGCGAGGAGGCTGAGGAAGCTGCTCGTCGCGGCGGCGGCAAGTTCGGCCAGCGCCGCAGCGGTCAGCAAGGCGGTGGCATGGACGACGGCTCCGGTCAAGGCGGTATGAATGTCATGGGCGGCATGGGCGGCGCCGGCACCGCCGGTATGACACCCCAACTTATGGCCCAGTACCTCCAGCGGATGCAGCAGGCCTTCCAGATGATGCAGCAACAGATGGCCATGAACAGGGGCATGCAAAATCCCATGGTTCAAATGATGCAGATGCAGCAGATGCAACAAATGCAACAACAGATGATGGCCGCTCAGCAAGCCCATGCCGCGGCTCAGGCGGGTGCAGGACAGCAAGGCAGCGGTGGCCGCGCTGGTAGTGTCGGCGCGGGTCAGGGGCCTAACGCGCAAAACCCCCAGGCGATGGCCGCCGCCATGGGCATGAACCCGGCGATGATGCAGCAAATGATGGGCGGCGCTGGCGGTCCCGGAGCCGGTGGTGCTGATGGAGGTGCCGGTGGTCCTAAAGGGGGATTCGGCGGCTTCGACGGACAGCAGGGCTTCGATGGCCAGCAGCGTGGTCCCGGCGGCGGTAACCGCGGTCCTCGCAACGATCCCGCTGGTGGAAACTACGGCGGTGGAATGCCTGGTGCTGGAGCGGGCTACAACATGGGAGCCACCAGCTGGGAGGGCATGTACGATGACGTCCCCCAACCGATGATGGGCGGTCCCGGTTTCGGTCCTGGCATGGGTGGCATGGGTATGGGTATGGGCGGCGGCATGGGCGGTGGCGGTGGTGGTGGAGGACGTGGTGGTTTCCATAAGGGTCGCGGCCATCATCACGGCAGCGGCGGTGGTCATCAGCAGGGCGGCCATCAAGGCTCGCATTCACCCGGCGGACCGGTCGACCCGGCCAGCGCACCTCCTCCTAACGCCCCTACGGGTCCCAAGAACGCTGGCAAGCCTGGTGCGAACTATCGCGGTGGTGGAAGGGGTGGATCCAGGGGCTTCCATCCTTATGCTCGGGGTTAAAAGACTTTCGTGTAGAATGTGCGATGATAAAGCGCGCGCTTCATCATCGATTGGGATATCCCTGACAGAAACAAGTGGACGAAAGAAGGCCTTCAGCTCCTTGTCTCGAGAAACCACCCCCAAGCTGCCAGCCTGGTACAAGAGATCAATATGAAAACAACCCTGACAGCCACCGAACAACAACATTCAATACGAGACAACCGGCGTGGCCAGGCTATATTCATTCCCCATGAGTAACAGCGACGGGGAGAAAGTTGCGCGGTGGATTTGACGGATACAAATGAGCTTAGGGGCGATGGACGAAAGGAAGGAAGGAAGGAAAGAAGGAAGGGGGGATAGTGGCTGAAGGACCGAAATGGCGTTGGAGTTTATAATCAATCACCGCTTTATTCTTGTGTTATTCTTTGGTTGTTTTGGTTCATTGCTCACTTATAAAGTCACAAATAAGTCATGGTGGTTTTTTTTAGTCTTTTCAATTTACAGGCTTTTTTTTTTTTTTACGTTTCATGAAATTCCAGTTGTACACTACTACAAGAATGTTTACTTGTCTTTTTTTCGTATTATCATCGTACAGTCTAAGAAACTAATACATGAAAAACAACCCACGTTAATCATGTGCTTCTTGGGGGCTTCTGTGACGTTGATGGAGCTACTCGTCTGGGCTAGAAAGGCCCTCCAGACCCGGGTGTGACTGGCGTGTCGAGCCCACACAAGTATCCTCAGTCATGAAGGTGGGTTAATTTATATTCTGCCCTCTGGCTAGGCCACGTTTGTGTGAAAAAGGTATCTTTAAACCAACTTCTAGAATACGTGACCTTTCTCATGTTAGAAATGTCTATCTATCTACTGACCTACGACACACTCACTGGTCGGCACTAACTAGGTACATTAGATCAGGGAATTGTTTTGGTTTCCTAGTTAGCTAGCTAGCTAGAGAAGATAGTACCAAACAGAATGCATATCTAGGTAGGTACGGCAAAAGTAAATTCTTTCGAAAAGTTCCTTCTCATCCTCCCCTTTCCGCTTCTTTCTTTTTGGGGGTGGACATTCATTGTCATGTGCCATGTTGATGATGGTGTCTTGTTTAATTCATAGGTCCATTGTTTAAAGTATGATCTTCCCTGTGGCGGGTGCACTTCGTGAACTGCGCAAGTGGGATCCACTTACATACAAGGCCTTGTTCAACGAGGGGGCCAGGATGGACTAGTCGCATGTAACTCACATTTGTCCGAGGGGGGGATAGGTGTTGGTGATATCTTGCAGTGTATCTTGGGGGCGCGCCACAAGAACTGTTGTCTTCTGACACTTGGTTTAGTTTGGAGAAAAGTGTTCGATATCGACATTGTCGACCCCAGAATAATGGACAGAGCGTTCGAGTGCCATAGCGGTTCGCCTGTTATTCATTGGCAGAGGGAGTGCGAGATGAGGCATAGAATAATTATCTGGTGCTTCAAGAAGCGCGCGTTGAAAAGGGAAAAAAAATATAAAAAAAATAGAACATTACAAGCCTGATCCTGACTGACTGACTGCAGTGAACTCCTACATGAACTCCATTTGCCCAATTTTCCCAAAGTCCATGCAATTCCATGGCCATACAATTACTCGTACCTAGAACAACATCCTCTGACTAATCTTGCTCACTCACTCACTCACTCCTCCTTCACCTTCTTAGCCTCTGGAGCACCCTCCTCGGCCGGCGCAGCCTCGCTCTCAGCCTTTCTCTTCTTCTTCACCAACCCCGTCAAATCATTCGCCTTCTCCTTGACCTCCTCAGCGACCTTCAAAGAACTCTCGCCCTTAGTTCCAGAGACAGGCGCAGCGATTCCCAAAGCCTCATTGATATCAATAGGCGGCTTCCTCAGATCTACCAGCCTCTGCTCCATATCCGAAATTACCTCCTTCACGTCGGCAATCTGCCGGCGCGTCGCGTCGTTGTCCTCGGGGTTGTGCGTGCTGGCCAGTTCTACTTCTTTGTTCTGCAGCTTGAGCTTGGTGGAGGCGATGGCGGCTTCGAGCTCGGCGGCGGCTTCGTCGCGGAGGGCTTGGTCTACCACGCCTGCACCACCCGCGCCGGCTTTTTCTGAGGGGACGGCGGAGTCGTCGTCGGAAGACTTGGTTACGGAGGCAAATTCGAGAGCGAGGGAGAGCTTGAAGTGTGCTTCGGCAATGATTTCAGAGTCTTGGGTATAGAGCTGTTGTTTGTATTTGAGGGAGGCGCGGGAATCGGTTATGGCTGCTGGGTATCTGTGGGAGGGAGAGGGGGGGAAGGGATTGTTGGTTAGTACCTGGGTATGTTTTGAGGTGACAAGGAGGGAGACAAAATGCTTACCTCTCGTTCTCGAGCGAGATCTCGGCCAAGAGGTCATGCAGATCGCCTAAGCGCTCCTTGATGTGCTTGATCAGAGGCGACGCCTCAGTAGTGGTGGCAGCCTCGTCGCTTTCCTTCTCCTTGCCCTTGCCTTCTTCTTGGGTCTTTTGCTCGGCTTCTAGTGTCGCGAGCTTCTTCTCAAAGAGAACACGCGCAAGGTCGAGGACCTGGAACGCCACGGCGAGATCATCGTCCTCTTCGTCTTCTTCCTCGCCCTCCTCGGCATCTTCGTCGTCGTCCTCCTCCTCCTTATCCGAGTCGTCAAAATTCTCGTCGCCCTCAAAGTGGAAGAGGGGCTTCTTCTCCGGATTGGGCTCATCCTTATGGGCAACCTCCTTGGCCGCCTCGGCGATGGAAGCTTGCGCGCCCTTAGTCGCCTGCTCTACCGCGTCCTTGATCAAGGATGATGAACCCTCTTCTTTCTCTTCTGTGGCGGCCTTCTTTTGCTTCTTGGACTTGGCCGCCTTCTTCTCGGGTTTGGGTTCGGGCGCGCGGCCACCAAGAACGTCGCTCTTGCTCTGGCCGACCTTGAACAGGGCGCGGCCGTAGAGGAAGAGGATCTCGGCGTTGTCGGGGTTCATCTCGCCGTTCATCTCGGCCTGCATCTCGGCGGCTTGGGCGTACAGCTCAGCGGCCTCATCGTAGTTCTTTTGCGCGTACTGGGCGGCGGCGTGGGCGGAGAGATCGGCGAGGGAGACCTTGAGGGATAGCGCAGCTTCCTCGGCGTTGAGCTCGACGATCGGGGTCGCGGTGCCGCTTGCGGCGGGGGTGGGTGTTGACATTGGGATGTGTGTTTGGGATAATTGATGTTTGGTGTGTGTGACAATGTCTCGATCCTGAGATTGGGAATATCGATTTGGTGAAATGGAAGTTGGAAGGAAGATCCAAAGCAAGAGTTACAGAGTTACAGAGAGCTTCACAGAAGTTTAGAAGCTGTGACGCGATGGAGATCAGTCCACCCCCAAAGACGCGTCTGATTGGCTAATTGTGCTGTAAGGTAAAATGGATGCCGCTGTTCATTGGCTGTTTTCAACTCTTTTCAACCCTTGACTTACTGGAAATGTGGGGCGCGAGAGCAAACAGCAGACCAACAGCAGACGACAATCGTGATCGATGGCGAGAGCTTCCCTTTCATTATGCTCTCTGAAGCTGTTCATGAAATTTCTGAGTCATTATCAAAATTAACTGATCCGTTGACCCTAACATCTCATTCCATTGCCAAAACTGAATTTGGTTCTGGAAGCTCTCTCTGCTCCAAGGTCAGTCAGTCTAAGTTGGAAACGAAGCCAGGGTTAGGGTCATGACGTAGGACCTTTTGGCAGGCACTCTTGTCCTCCCGCTCTTGCTTCCCTTCTTCGATACCTCTACCCCTCGGACCCCTCAACTCAACTCATTTCCTCCCTTCTCCAGCCTTGTTCAGCCTGGTCACTTCAAATTTTCTCCCAAGCGCCAAAAGCATTCCTCAATCTCAAGCCGGTGGGCGGTTTTCAAACATTTTGGCTAGCGCGTTCCAGCCTGTTTTCACGGTTCATCAATCTTGAGAGTTGGCCCCATTAATCCGTCTATAACATCTGGTTTTGGTGGTTTCTGGTGAGTGTCGTAATCCTATGCAGCAGCTCTCGTTTACTGTATCTTGCCATTGCCTTGGGCAAGTCAGCAAGTGATTGAGGATTATAAATCAGCACCACAGTATTTCACCTTGGCCCTTCATGCGCCGCTGTCGTGGTTGTAGGTCACCTGTTCTAATATTAAGTGGACAGAACACTCCGTCTTGACAGCCCAGTAAACACACATTCAGAACATCAAACAACCAAGGGTCTCATCAATTGCCAAGATGCTTCAAGCAATCGATAACGTTCATGATCGCCAATTCTTGGCGGCAGAGCTCGCTTCATCAGCCACCCTCGCTGCTGAACTTGCGCAGCCGGAGATCAAAAATATCCTCCTGGCGTATGTAACACCGTTACCTCTGAAGCTCTACCCAAACCGTACGACTGCTAACAGCGAGGTATCCAGTGCTTCCGGCTCCGTAGCCACCATCAAGAGCAAGTCGTCATATCTGTATGGCACAACTTGAGTAAATGACTGACCATGTCCTCGCCCCATAGTCCCTGAAATTGTCAAGGCTTTGGCCAGGCACGGCGACAAGATTCGCATTCGCATTATTCTCACACACTTCGCCAAACACTTCCTCGGCGGCCAAAGTAAAGAACAGCCCGTCTACTCCTCTCTGTTGGACTACCCCCATGTGGAAGCTATTTACGATGATGCCGATGAATGGGGTCCCGAGCCATGGCAGCGCGGAGCGAGTATTCTCCATATTGAGCTACGAAGATGGGCAGATATCCTTGTTGTTGCGCGTGGGTTCTTCATTTCTCTACGGTTCAAAGCCCCAACGTGTTGTGTTCCTTCTGTACTGACCTAGTTACTTGATGTTCCAAATAGCCCTCAGCGCCAACACGCTTGCCAAAATCGTCAACGGAATGAGCGATAATCTTCTGACGTCCGTGATAAGAGCATGGGACACAGATTCGAGTATCGACAACAAGAAGAAGGTCATTATGGTTGCACCGGCAATGAACTCTGTGCGTATCTTACGTTCTCGATACTGACCCGGTCCAAACTGGGGAATGTCACCATCGAAAAACTGACACTCGCATGTTGCCAGGCCATGTGGAGGCATCCCATCACCGCGAAGCAGATTCGAGTGCTGCAAGAAGAATGGGGAGTCAGGGATCCTGAGCCAAGTGAGGGCGACACTGCGGGTGTTGCTGTGGCTAACGGTTGGTTCCAGGTTGTCATGGTATGATTGACCTCGTTCTGTTGACTAGAAAAATCTGATGCTGACCATTTGGAACCACCACAGCCGATTGCAAAGTACGCTGGATCACAAAGATGCCCTCCAAAGCTATATATTATCGAATGCATTGCTAACATAGGTTCACCAGGACTCTTGCATGTGGTGATACAGGAGGTAAGCAAAGCTCCGATCCTTTTCCCTCTTGATCTTTCCGTGGCTGGTTGAAATCCACCATGTTGACTTGTCATTGTGCTAACTTGCTGGTCTATAGATGGTAAGCTACAACGCATTTCTATTGACAGAACAACGAGAAGCTGGGCGTCATTCCATCTTCGCGCATTGACGATTCACGGCGTGTGCAAATAGCTAACGTTGTGTGAATACAGGAGCTATGGCATCCGTCGACACCATCGCAGAAGCCATTGAGAGCCGGCTCGGCCTTGAGTAGTAAAGCATCGCATGCAACTTGTTACGCGACGTTGCCGTCCGATACATTTAAAGTGGCAGACGCTGTGGACGAGGACGCTGGGCAACTGAACGGGACATTGGCATTACCGACACCGCCTATCCTGTGTTGTGGTCTATTCTTTCGCAGTCTCTTTTTTTAACTGTTTACGATCTGACATTGAACATTTTGCATGGTTGAAACCTCGTTCAGAGAGAAACATTTGAGGCAGTAAGGATTGGATCTGAAGCACGAATTTAGTGGAGGTTCGGGTGCCGGCATATGGTTCGGATTTCGGAACAAAGCCTTTGAAATTCGATCAAGTCCAGTTTTCCAGTAGTCCCCAATTCTACGTTTCATGCTCCTGGTGTTGCTGGAGATCAAAGGAAAAGAAATGTTTGACGTGACACAACATGGGTAAGACGTCCGTCAAGGTTTCATTCCATACCCCCAAGTCGGTTGACTTTCACGACCATGACGACAAAGACAACGCAAAGATATACGCTCCGTACTACTCAACAGCAATGGTTTCGAGCAGTTATCCAATTTATCGAATGCTACAAATCCTTCAGGCGCAAGTTTTCGCCTTTTCAACGGGTTTCGAGCCTGGGTGATCGAGAAACGAGTCCCTAACAGATCTGTGTGCATAGTCAGGTACGTATCTGTTAATGCGCAGAACTGACGTTGAGGACCCTGAGCGTAGACCCACTTATCTTTTGCTGTCTGAACGCTGATTGGTCTGTTGCTTGGTGTAAGTCTGCCCGTTTTGAACATCGAGTTCGCCTCGACGACACCACTCGAAGTTGAGCCGGGCGATTCGCCTTGTGTAGGTCTGATGATGGCAGATTGGATGGTATTACTGGCGAAGGTACCTCAGCTAGATTCTCTCTCCTTCCTTTTTTCTTTTTTCTTTTTGTCGAGACCTTTTGGAGTGGTCCTCGAGTGTTCATCTAACTGGTCTGGCGGTTTAACTATTGGCCTTGTGGACTTTTGCGGTGCGCCCGGTTGCCGTTTCGTGAGCTTATTCCGGTACCTACTCAAGTGCGCATCTTGGGCAGTTAAGTTGGGGCCATTCCGTCAACAGTGAAGGGACAGCACGCACATCTCGTCATGCAGGCATTCTAACTCCGATTGTGGTGCTCATTCTTCAGCAGACGGGGTCCCCGAAATGTTATCAAAACTTGAAAGCTCTTCGTCGTCGCAAGGATAGCAGGGTTAAGGTGCCATTGCTCATCAACTGGGCACATAGAAACCCAAGGACATCGTCTTACTGCGGGCGTCTTCTACTTCTCGAGAAAGTAGGTAGTCGGACATGAATGGGTCTTGCGTCATGTCCGGAGTGGGGGGGTGTCTGGTACATGCAAGCATCATAATATTAATCTTCAGACCCCCGAATTCTGAGCGAGACGTGCGTATTTTACACACAGTGGTCGCAGCGATACCCCTTTCTCATCGTCGAATGCTGGGTAATCTACCCTAAACTCTCCCTCCTTACGACGGCATTGTAACAGATACACAATTACGGCCGTCGTAGAGCGAATGTACGCATACTTTCGGCCCTTGGCGTGCCTGAGGGTGATTGTGTGTGCCTTTTCTGATCCAACTGCCTCTTCTCTGCATTTTCTGATCTCTCTTTGCGTCTCCGCCTTGCTTAGAGTTCCCGTCCGTTTAAAGGGAACATAATGGGCTTACGCATGCCCTCTTGGACAAGTGCTAGCACATCATCTCAATTTCTTTAATTACTTAGATGAGCGCTCCGTCTCATCTTTCCTCTATTCTCGTTCATCCTTATCTCCATCCCAACCTTCATTTTGCCTCCAAGGCAAGGGAAACTGGGCCCCTCTTCCCGAAAAGACTATCTCTTTTCAAAGCCCTTTATCAACCTTGTTGATACAGATATCAAGACCATAATCTGGTATCGCTAGCCCGTACGCATACATGCTACTGCATCATTCAGTCAACTATTGATCCCGATAACGACTCGCAACGGCAGCGTCGACGGCGTCTATCTACCTACCTCCATGGTCCGAGTATTAGAGTGATACAAGATGGACAACCGGCAGAACTTCAACATGAGCATCCGCAACGTCGTGAATTCAACGACTACGCCCCAGTCGGGGCAATCCGACTACCATGGGAATCCTGAACTTCGCACAACGGGCGCATCGGGCGCCCAACACGCTTACCAGCAAGTTGCTTGCCATCTTGACTTTGCCAGAAATCAGCTGCTGACTCCAGACTAGTCCTTCCACTTCGGACTTCACTTTCCGGCCTACTGCTGGATTCAATGTGCCCCGCCACTTTGAGAGAGCCCAGTTTACCACCGGCGCGCCAGTTGACCACCCGGGGATGACGTACGAGGGGACAAATTACACCATGGCCCCTCAACCCTTCGGGGTTAACAATCGAACGTACGTGGTGAAGGTTCATCTCGTCTTGCCGATTGCTTTGTCTCAGTGGCTTTGCTCCTGTTTGCGTCTCGACACATGTTGGTTTCTCCCCTCTGCGACCGTAGCCCATATTTTTCTGCATGATGTGAAAGCTGCTTGCATGCCTCTGTCGACGTGGGCGGAAGAGGATATGGGACGGAAGTCCAGATGATTCGAGCGAGCCAATTCCAGACCTCGAGTGAGTGACTGGCAAACGATGATTTGTTTCCGTGGCGGTGTTTTCATTAAGCGACCTCGAGCACGTTCCCCCTTCACCGGTCGGTTATTACCACAATACACTTCAAATACGCTGCTGTTCCTACAATGAAGCCGGCCGGCAGGAATCCATCATTCTTGGCCTGGGTATGCTATTGTCGGTTGACCAGGTAGCCGGGCAGTTGGGCCGTGAATGGCTCAGAGTGGAAACCTGGACTCCCACAGCTGTTTGCTCAATAAGGGGTCACGTATTGATACCATTCACTTCCATCCCAAGTTGCCCTCTGCAATAGGAAAACTGTGAGTCCTCTGACCTCGAGCTCAGAGCTGTGAACCTGCCAGACCAAAGGTGCGAGTGCGCACTCTGCCCCATAAATTAATTGCCTTCCCCCCCATCGAGTTTTCCTCATCCCTCCTCCTTCAACCCAACTCAACTGGACCTACTTTCGCGATCTCAACAACAACAACAACATCGGCGCAATTTGGGGCTCTTCCCATCTCGCGACAGTTAGTCGCTTCTACATCAAGCACCACCCCGCTGCACATTGGCTTCGTGCTTGCAGACCAGTATCTGCGCCCTGCATCTTTCTGATCTCGGTCTGATCTTAACAAACGTTCGGGTATATCCCTTCCACAACATACATTCTAACCATGGCCGGGATGGCTGCTAACCATCTTGCGTACTTCATGTAGCCGTTCATCTGGATATTCGCTTGGGCTTGACCTAAGCTCCCTCGGCATGGCTCCGTCTCGCATTAAGCCACAGTCACCCCAGGAGGGCTCGGTGTGGTCTCAGCAACAACTGCCCACCCCCCCTCATAATCGCGGTGGACGACGCAACGTTCGCATGGAGACCTCATCCAGCAATACGCCCACGGCTGAGCAGTCTTCTCCCATGGTTGACAATGCCAGCATCGACGAAGACGAGCAGGATTTAAATCTTGATTGGGTGACCAGAGCGGCCAGGTATTTGGACCCCCGAACCGAGGAAGACCGCACAGATCGTATCGCCCTGGAGGCGGACCTTCGCCGTGGTGGTACCCGTTGCTACCACACAAGCAAATGCAACACCAACGCACCACCCCGCAAGGCCGTTTCTCAGTTCTTTGGGCGCAACAAGAAGGCAACGAGACAAATGCCTGATCGTGTCTGGTGCAACTTGTGTCGCAAGCACTACCAGCGCGCTCGTTACCGTAATTTGGCCGAATACTCTCTTGACCAGTGCAATCTCATCATTGGCACAATCGTCCGTGCCCAGATTTGGTCCGATATCAGCCATTGGGAGAATCCGAACCTGAAGGGAGGAACTCTGAACGGATGGAAGCTTGTCCCCCGTAAGCGCGAGCAACAGCGTCAGGAAGAGGCCAGCAAGGCGCGTGAGAAGGCACGTCTTCAGAGAGACAAGAAGCGGTCGCGCGACGACTATGAAGACGAACTCGATGAACTCGACTTCCTCCCCACCTCTAGAGTCGCGCCTGCCCTGCTCAGACTCTGCGATCGTGTGTACTCTTCAGTCCAAATCATCGACATCATCGAGGAGCATTTCAAAGCCCCCCTTGAGGAGGCCCTCAACTCCGGCCACCCCTCACATGGCCTCCCCGACGTCGAGATTCTTCCCGAGTATGATGGTACCGATGAGACCCTCGAGAAGGAGCGCAAGGAGAAGGCCAACAAGAAGAAGGCCAACACGGGAAATGTGACCACCCCTGAGAAGCGCCGCAAGCAGGCCACCCCGGGCACCGACTCGGATGACTCGAGCTATCACTACCCGCATCAGCAACGTGCTGCTTACGGCTACGACGACAGGCAGTACGCCGGAGCTCACAACAACCTCCCTTCTCCCAGCCCCAGCAGATCCAACTGGCCGGCTCATTACTCCCAGGGTCCCTCCTATTCTTACTCATCCGGTAGCGGCTACAACGACTATAACGACAGATCGTATGCTGAGCGCCAGACCAGTGTCTCCTCTCCCAACTTTAACAGAACTGACTGGGCTCCCAGCTACCGTCAGGGCCCCTCCAGCTACTACCAATCTGGCAATTCGGTCAACAGCGGGCTCCAAAACAACACATCCGCCACCTACAGCGGTACCACTCTTGCCCCTATCGGTTCCAGTCGCGGTTATGTCAACCCAAGCTATACTGGTCTTACCGCCAGCTACAGTGCTCCCGGCGGCTTGGGTACCGGCGGCAGCGGCAGCATGTCTACCTCTGGATCTAGCTTGAACCCCATGCTCCAGAACGATAACTCCTTCTACCAGCCAGTTTCGCAGAGGAGAGAGACCATTGCTGCTTACCGCCCTACCCAGCCTTCTTCGTACGAGCCCCGTCGCACTTTCTCCGAAGCAAACAACCAGTACGCCGGCGGTCCTTCCATCACCGCTTCGCATGCCGCTTCCATTCTCACCAATTTTCAGGACAATACACGTCCCAAGTACGAAGGTGGAAGTGGCACGTCTGAGTCCATGCAGGGATCTGGATACGCGGACTATTCGTCGGGCAGTTATCCCAACCGTTACTAAGGCGTACGCGTCTTGAAACCATACAGCGACCACCACAGCAACAACAACAGTAACAGCAACAACATTTTCAGAGTAGGAAAGAGCATGTGCAAGAGCATGGAAAGGCGTTTTGATGTTTTCAATGCATAATTTTTCTTTAATGCTCCAGCCTTTCGTCTAATACGCATTTCTGAGCAACCGGCATTTCTTTCAGCTGGTATCATTTTCATTTTTTTTTTTTCGGTATTGCTCTTTATCTATTCTACCACAGCTTTTCTGCGAATGCTGTAAACGGCATTCACATTACCCGGCTACGAACAATATCTGGAAAATGCTACAGTGGTTTTCTTTCCACAGAAAAAAGTCTTTGACAGAGACGAAGCGGTTTGGTGGCAGTTTTCACAGAAGGGATGGCTCAAATGGTCATCAACGGAAAGAAATGGAAAAATCCTGGATACCCATGTTCATTCAGGTTAAGAAGAAAGAGAAATATTCGCAACGTTCACACAACAATGAAGCGCAGATAACGAAAGAGTCTGGTGAAATTGCTTCATCGATTGGAACGATGAAAAACGAGCGCAAGCACACGAAGCGCAGTGAAAGGGGAGGAGGAAGAAGAAGAAGAAGAAACAAGAAAACAGAAAAACAATCACAAAAAAAAAGTATTCCACATTCACAGCTACCAGCTTGGGTGTGGACAGGACCGATTTTCATCTTTTGGGGGGGAATAAAATAAAGGCTCTCTCGCATGGAGGGAGGAAGGGATACAGGCATACCAAAGGGTCAAAGGGAAAATAGGGAACTAGGGACATCATCAGTCGATGATTATGAGGAAGCGATTTTTGCTTTTCTTTACTTTTCCGTTGCATCCGTTGCATTCTTCACAAGATAGGTAATGACTTTTTCACGATACACTTTCTTCTTCTTTGTACTTTTGTATTTTGGCTCGAGTTTCCGTGAATTATGGCGTACAGTACATCACAAATATGATGTTCCCTCTCAGTATGGTCTTCGGGCGCGACTTTGTATAGCTGTGCGATGATGGTTTTTTAGCCATAGATAGAGAAAGGATTCACACTTCCAAGGGATGATGCTCAAGAGCGAAAGGGAAAAGCAATAGTTTAGGTAGCTACCTAGACTAGGAAGGAATCAACAGGACATGGTTAACATCAAATGAAGCAATTGCATTCGTCCATGTGGCTGTTCCATCACCGCTCCTCCGGGAATGCATATCGCGATTTCCCGATATCACGACACGGGGAATCGTGATAATGCCCTTGTACCTCTGCAATTCACCACTACATAGGTACAGTCGGCACCTGTGAATCAGAGGCTTCGATGATAGGAAAGGCCTCTTGTATTTGGTGATACTGAAGCAGTCGGGTGGTGCTGCCTTTCTGGTGTTCCTACAGCAGTGGTAGATGCCGCCCATCAGCCTCGCGGTCAACGGTCCCGCTTCTCTCCAAAACCATGGCACTACACCTAGGAGGTACCTTTGCAGACCATTAATCACTGCGCTTCTTGTTCTCTCGTTTTTTCTAGACTGCGAACAATCTACTTCTCCCTCCGTTCAACCTTCAACAGACTTGAAGTAAAAGAGACGATAACCACTCAAGCATTGCGTCTTCCTTTTTCTCTGTCTGAAAATTACGAGCAGACATGGCTGTTCATAAGTAAGTGTATCCTCGTCATTTTCCCCTTTTGGACACGAGCGCTTAATCGCGACTCAAGCACCCTGTAATTTACTACTCTTGCAGACAGACCCCCCCTTCCTCCTCGCCGGTCGCCGCAAGCCCACATGCCCACAACCTAGGCAGGTCCAAGGATGTTGCACTATGCTTCTACGGCACGTTCGGACGTACTCTCCAGCTGCAGCAACCGAGACGAAATAAAGAATGGGATGTACATGGCGTTCGGGAGAAAGAGACATCAGACCGGATGTATCCCATCCTGACTTGACCTTGGGAGCTGCTCCACAAGAAATCAGACATCGGACCAGACGGAGAGCTCTCCGATGGCTGGGTGTCCCTCTTTTCTTTGCAACACGACACACACACAGTTGGGAAAACAATCGCTTTGTGCTCAACTTACCTACCCCTCCAAGCGAGGGCTATCCGCTCATAGGGATTTGATCACTATGTCGTAACCTTCCAGTCGCGACCTCGAAGGTGGGTGGAACCGGGTGGGCAGGCCCGAAGACACTCGTTGCCCAGGCAGCTATCAGGTAGGTACCTAAGGAACATTCACTGCACAGATGGCAGGCTCCCTCAAGCCAGGCCAGATAACTAGCCGTGTTGCTTGCTTGCTTCAAGTTTTCGGCAGACACTGACAGCAGGTACTATGACCAGGTAGCCAGACATGCAACTTTCTCTTCTGAGCATATGTACCTACCTTGACACGACCCGCCACCTTCTGCGCCATGTTCCACCGACCTGACAACGATGTTTTTGCTTCCCGCCATAATCATCAGACCAGACGACCAAGACAGTAACGGGAGTTGCATGACTCCCAATGCCGCTGTTGAGACCAGACCGGATGAGAACCCAAAGAAGAGGAAGGGCGCCGACTGTGGACTCAACTGCAGAATACATACGCTGATCTTGCTGGGGAGAAAGGACAGCACAGCATTCAGTCCGGATGGAAGCTTTAACTTCACCCAACGGCCAACGCCGGGCTTGGGAGCGTGAGCCAGCTTGATGAGCAGTCAGCGGAGGTGCGAGGACACTCGCCCATGGAGAAACAGCCAATTAAATAACTAAAAGGCATCTAATGCCAACTCGTACTAAAGTCGGGGGGTAAGTCTTCGAGGCCAAACCAAACCTCCAACGCAGCTTTTCACCATAATTCAGGCCTCCGTACAGCTGCCATCCAATGTACCAACAGCCAGTACACATAGAACAAGTTTGCCATCCGACCCTCTTGGCTGAGCTGCTCGACATGAACGCTGGCCAGACATGCCAGGTGCGCGCACGGCGCCCCAGTGCCCACACGCGTATGTAATGTCTTGAGTCTGTGCAGCAAGCATGACACGGACATGTGTCAACTGATGTCGTAGACCAGACGTCGTCTGAGCTCATCGGACCCTCCCCCGCCAAACCGTACTCCTTCACGAGGAGATCCAAATCCATCAGAACCATCTCAGCTTCCACACATGTTGATGATGCGCAGTTGGCTGGGGGAGGTTGAGGTGAAAACGAAACGAAACAACGAAGCATCTCGACTTTAGTTTTGGACGGGCGCTCCGGATGAGACAAATGTTTTTGCTTGTTTCAGTACCATGAATGGTCCCTAGTAGGTATCGGTAGTTGAAGCGTGTCTTTTGGCTCGTCCGTAGTGTGAAACTGTCGAGTGTTCTTGGTGTTGTCGAGTGCTAGAAGTTGAGGTGTCGTTATCTCGAAGCTTCTGATTGGCCTGAAGGGCTATGGGGCATTTTACAGTCTGACAGCTGAACGTGACACTGTCTGGCGTACACGGTGTAAATTTGGACCCTTTTACACTACTAACTACACTAGTAATGTAACATACCCGCAAACAACGACTGAGCGTAAGTTACAATTCCAACCAACCTCTTGCGAGATTGACTAGCAACGGTCTCGATCTGGGAAGGCGTTGCGAAAAGTCGGACGTGGCGCGGTTCGTTTCCTTCCGTTCGGAAAAGCTGCAAGCCATCTTTAGTTTCTTCAGAGAGGGATTTCACATGCCGTGTTGATTGCTTGGCAGGGGGGCGAGAGGGGTTCCGAGTTTCCGACGGTGATCCGCGTTTCATCACGCAACCAAGTTTTTGTTTCTTTCCCATGTTCTCCGTCTTCAAGGTCAAGACACGATTGGTTTCGATTCAGTTTGCCGAAGACGCTACGCTACCTAGTTTCACTGAACTTTGCGACGGACAGGGTCCTCCCCATACTACATACATAAATAGTTCAGACTCATACAAGGACCCACGACCAAAAAGAGCCGCAAGTTGTTGTTATCTGCCGAACGGGGTTGATAGACTGACCGACCGACCGACCGACCACTTGCCGCTACTACTGTATTATGTTCATTCCCCTTATCAACACTTTTCACTTTGCTTCTTCCATATGATTTGTTGATGTTTTAACCTTGTCCCTAAGACGTCGGAAGGGACGACGAAACCTGGAGCAGACATGGGCGTTATAGAAATGGAAATACATACATATCTGTCCCATACATGTAGCCGGTGGGTGGACCCCCCCCAAACTTGGACATATGCCCGTTAGCTTAGTCTGTAGCGTAGACCAAAGCAAGCTGAATCTAAGAATTGAACACTAGTAGAACCCAAACAAAAGGAAACAAAACCACGCATAGTATGTACACATATGTAGTAGCCTTTCCAACAAAAGCGCCGATCACATCGAGGAGTTGCTGCCCTTCCTTATCCATTTTCATGCGCTAGTGTTCCGGGACCCGAACGGGGATCCTCGACTCCAGCCCTCCCCGTTTGGGCCTACATACTGTACCTAGCTACTAGGTACTAGAATTAGGCTTGTTATGACATTGATAGGCGCCTTCTCTAAAAAAAATCTCAATTCAAGAATGGAGGATCTTCTTCATTTTTTTCTCAATAAAATCACTCTTTCCCTCCTCCTCGAAGCTGTTTGATACTGGCTATCAACAGTCCCTCTCTTTCTTTCTCTCTCACTCAACCACCGCTAGATTCTTTTCATTGTCTGTGTTGTTCAGTCCCTGGTTGGTGGTAAAGCAACTGAACTGCAACTGTACCATGAGACTCACACCCCTCGTCACCCTCTTGGGGGTCTTTTTGGCTTGGGCGACCTACGAGATCTATGCTGGCTTTAGGAGCAATATTGCCAAAGCAAGGAAAACAGGGTATCCCGTTTTAATTACCCGTAAGTTTTCCTTCCTTCGGTTCCCTATATATATATGTTATGATTTTGAAGAAGAATATACTCCAAGGACCATGGTAATTTGACTAATTATGATGCAGCAATCTACCCCCTCTCCCCCCTCTGGCTCACAACCCGGCACTTCCTCCTCCCCATCCTTACTCGTCTGCTCCCTGAGCGGCTTTACGCCTCTTATGTCTTCGTCATGACGCCCGACTGGGAATACCACCCTTCTCCGCGCTCGCACTTTACTCGTCTGGGAAGCGACACGTTTGTCGTGGCTAGCTGGAACGGGCTGGCGTGCTATACCTCGGATGCGGCCATCATATCCCAGGTGATGAGCAGACGGGAGGCGTTCCCCAAGGATACGAGGCAGTATGGGATTTTGGAGATTTTTGGGTCCAATGTGGTGACGACGGAGGGACAGGTGTGGAGGATGCATAGGAAGGTGACGAGCGCGAGCTTTAATGAGCGGAATGCGGGACATACGTTTCGGGAGGCGGTGAGGCAGACAAGGGGGATGGTAGGCGGGTGGTTTTCTTCTTCTTTTTCTGGTTCGCAAGAAGAGGGGCGGCGGGGAGGAGAGGATGGTGTGGAGGACATGACGGGCGTTATTACGACTCTGGAGCACGATACCATGCGCTGGGCGCTAAACATTATCGGGTACGTCGGCTTTGGATTGAAGCTGCTTTGGCCGCATGAGTCCATGCCTAAGGATATGGATCCGAAACTGGCCAAGTACGGGAGTTTGCAGCCGCCCAACGGGTATTCCATGACGTTTGCGGATTCGCTGGCGACGGTTTTGGAGAGGATCATGATCTTGTTGCTGATTCCTTCGGCGGTCCTCAAGCGGATTCCCGAACGGTGGGGATCGTGGGGATCAAAGCTGCATGAGGCGTGGGAGGCGAAGGTGAACTATTCCAAGTACATGAACGCCTTCCTGACGGAGAAGGTGCAGGATATTCGAGCGGGAGTTCAGGAGAGGGAGGGGATGAATATCATGGGTCAACTGGTCAGGAGCAAGTATGACCCATCTTCCTCGGAGAAGAACGACGGCGCGACGATGAAGCTGGAGGACAGCGAGATTATGGGTAACGCTTTCATTATGACCCTTGCTGGACACGAAACAACCGCCAATGTCATACACTTTACCATCGTCGAGCTGGCCATGCATCCCGAAGTGCAGCGGCGAGTGCAGCGAGATATCGACGCCATCTTCGGTCGGGATTCCGACCCGGAGACATGGGACTACGAGAAGAGCATCAACGCCTTGCTTGCCAGCTACATCGGGGCTGTGATCAACGAGACCCTGCGCCTGATTCCGCCCGTGGTGGTGACGCCCAAGCGAGTAGCGGATACCGATCAATGGGTGCAAGATGGAGGACAAAGGCATCAGATGCCCGCTATGATGCCTGTCATGCCTGTTATATCGGCTGTGCAAAGGAGTAGGCGTTATTGGCCTGCTCTTCATGACAAGATGACCAAGCAAGAAGACGCGGATGATCTGGATGAGTGGCATCCCGATAGGTGGTACTTGCCTTCCATGTCTCAGGGGCAATCATCAACCGACGACGAAAAGGGGGAGGTGAAACAGCAAGAAGAGAATTACGGCGGATACCAAGGCACCGACACCTCGCCGACGCTTTTTCGGCCTGTGAGAGGATCCTTCATTCCCTTTTCCGATGGCGCGCGCTCCTGTCTGGGAAGGAGGATTGCCATGGTGGAGATGGTCGCTGCCATTGCGGTGCTGTTTCAAAAATACTCGGTTGAGCTGGCGGTTGATGCGAGTGATGAAGAGGTGCAGATAATGGTAGCGGAGCAGAGGAGGCACGTGTATGTGAAGGCGCAGGAGAAGGCGAAGGAGACGGTTCAGCAGGCGGAATCGGTGGTGACGCTCAAATTGACCGGGGGGAGGCATGTCCCAGTGAGGTTTGTGAGGAGGGGGAAGGAGAGGTTTATGGGAAATGAGGGGTTGTGTTGAGAGAGGTGCCAGTCCTATCTCCTTCGAACCTTCCCTAGATAGAGGTATATTTAATATAGAGGTAGATGTTATGACTAAACATCCTCTGCCATGGTCCGTTGATGATACTTTGTGTGCGTTCTGGAATCCTCCGTCATGATCGCGGCTGAACTGCCACTTCTCCCAGGTTGGCAGTTTTACTTCTTCTTTTAATTCTTCTTTGGCTTCGGCATCAATGTAGTCTACCAGTCCGAGTATTCCCCTGAGCCGATGTAATTGCAGCGAAATGCACCATGCATCCTTTAAGCCTCCATTGTACTGCATCGCAAAGCTTGGCTTAAACCGCATGCCTCCATTTCCCCTCCTGGCCAGTCTCTGGCCTCTCAGTTGGATGCTTGGTTGATAAACAGTCTCCCCGGATAATCATGGTTGACCGGATACATCAGCACACCACAAGTACACCACTCAACTACATCTCCTCTTGCAGCTCATCAGGGGATCATTATTGCTCTTCCACAGTCCTGTGGGCTGTCATTGTCTAGAGACAACCTCGTCCTCTACCTCTCGACCTTTCGTCTCAACCAAGTTCCAGCAGCTGTCAACTCGACGAACCGTCTCAGCCCCCCACCACTGTTGGCCCTGAGTGAATGCTCCTTGGCCTTGGTGCAAGTGAATGGTCATTGTGCGGGTAGCCCCACGCACACCCGGACCATTTCAATAAAGTAGGCAGACAACAGGTCTTTGTTCAACTTCGCACAATCCAGCATTCCACCTCATCTCTCAAGTCATCCATCACGGACCTCGAAGATGGCACAGCCGCGCAAGAAAGACAGGATGGGACCGCCACTCACTACGTCCAGTGTGTCCAGTGTGTCCACTGCGCCGACGCCATCCAGCACCTTGTATCGCAACGGGCGCCAGCGTGGTACGTTGGGGGCCGAAGCATTGCTGCGTTCGAGACTTGAGCATCGTTCCAGGACTGCTTGCCAATCCAGCACGTTCAGTCTTGGTGTTCCGGAAATCAATCCCCCAACCAGGACAGCCATAACTTTGGCATCTTTGAGCTCGGGGACTCTCAGCGCACGCGAAGCAAGCCTCAAGACTCCTTCCGTGTCCAGCACGTCTAGTCTCGGTGTTCCTGGGATCCATACTCCAGCAGAGTCAGTCGCAACACTGAGATCGTCGGCCTCGGAAACTCTCGGCTCGCGAGAAGTGACTGGTTCCACAATCTGCTTGAATCCTTTACAAGAGTGGAAGGGGTCTCATGGTGACAGGCATGAGGTTGCCAGTAGAACGACCTCTGTTTCCTCCGTTGGCACCTCGAGTTGTGCCCACACAAGGCTTCTCCAGCAGTTGCGAGACCTCAGGGAAGATAATGAACGGTTGCGCACTCAAAACAACATCCTCCAACGCGAGGCCGGTAGGCCAGCCTTGACAGACGAAGAAGAAGGACGTAGGCTCAGCCAGCTCACGAGGGAGGAGCGCACAGCAACTGCCAATGCGCCACGCAGATCTACGGCAGGGCTGTTCAAGTCCGTATGTTCCATCGATTTGTTGTTCCTCATCGACACCACAAAGTCCATGCGTCCATACATTGAGAGTGCAAAGTCTCAGGTCAGGAGCATTCTAGACGACATCAACCGTTTCTTCCTCAATCAAGCCGAAGTCAGAGCCGCCGTTGTAGGCTACAAAGACCACGAAGCTGTTCCCAAGATCGAATTCCTAGACTTTACTCGCTCAGTTAAGAAAGTCCGATCCTTCCTCAATACACTGAACGCTTCCGCCTTTGCAGGGGATGACTTTGCCGAGGATGTTCTTGGGGCACTACACCAAGCGCTCGCGGCGACTTGGAAGCACCAGACACGAGTTGTCCTTCACATCGCCGATGCCCCGCCTCACGGCCGCACACTTCATGACCTCTCCGACAAGCGGGACCGCTATCCCAACCCGGGCAGTGAGCCTCACGGATTGACCTATCAGCCGATACTCAAGCGCATGCTTGATACAAGAATCAACTACGTTCTTCTTCGCATCAAAAAATCCACAGATCGCATGGCCTTGCAATTTTTGAAAGAGTACGCCAGGGCCGGGAGCGACTGTATGCTAAGTGAGAAGAACAGATACTATAGCGAAGCTGGTGGCACCAAGAACAGCGATGGCAGGCCGAACGGCGGCTTGGTGTTCCGGGAGGCTGAGTTAGGTCTCACATTCGCCGCACTACAGCGTCTCGTCGTCGAGGCCGTCACTACTTCGGTGATGAGTAGTACTGTAAGATCTTTGACACCGTTCGGAAGCATCAAAAGGGCGCCGGGCGGAACTAGCAGTCAGAGAGTGAACTACTCTGGACTTGGATCCACTCAGGAGAATGAAGAGCTTCCCGTACGCCGGCCTGACGTTAGGCTGGAAAAAAGCAGCCCGCAATGGGGTAACCTGGAGTGGTTTGATGAGTGTCTCGTTGTGGAGGGCTTTTCGATCGATGCCACTGTCACTGCTGCCTTGGACGACGGCTTCGCCCTCGGCACTAGCATGCTCGACCGCATGATGGAATCCGATACGAACATGACAGTCAGCGTCTTTGGGCTCAATCTTCGCAAACGGAGAACTCCTTTTGCTAAAGGAGCCTTGCGGTTGGCCTCATTTGCCTGCACCGAGTATTCGAGAAGCCGTTACGTGGTGAAGGAGTTCAAGACTGATGGTGATAACGAGGACGACGGTTCACACAACCGCAGCCTCGCCCATCTTGTTGAGGACATGCGCTCGCAAGCCCTTTGTAAGGCCTTTGCGGTCGAATTCAACTCCCTCTTGGCTGACTGTCCCGAACACAATATCGACTTTGTCGTCACGTCCTGCTTCAAGTGCAATGACAGGCGTGGGAGTAAAGGCAAGTGCATGTCCATCGAGCCCTTCCTTGCCGGCAAGTTTGTCAAGTATAACGGCAACGCGGGATACGCCAACAAAGAGGCCAATCTCGCCCATGACCCTTCCAACCAGGCTGCTCAGGCGTTTTCACACTTTACGTTCGAGCGCTCGCGCGGCCGGTTCCTGGTTTGCGACCTGCAGGGCGTGGGCAAGACCATGACGGACCCGGCTGTCCACACACTCGACCCGTACCGGTTCTCACTGTCACAGACCAATCTCGGTGCTGAAGGGTTCATGTTCTTTTTTGCTTATCACGAGTGCAACCACCTTTGCCGCCGGCTCTCGCTGAGGAGCAGCGCGACGATGTTCATGGGTGATGGCGAGAAGATGCAGTTCAGGGATTCTTGGCCTAGTCCGGGCTTGGGCAACCGTCTTTACGGTGACGAGGCAGTGGTTTGCTGCTCAAACAAGCTGTGTGGGAGGATCTTGAAGCGATTCCAGGCGGTGACCTCGAAGCATCCAAGTTTTCCTGGGTACCGTTGGTGCGACGAGTGTTTGCCGCAGTTGGGCGACTTTAATGTGATTCGGTTATGTTGGCCTGTGGGTGAGCAGCGCCATCGGTTTGAGGTTTCGGGATTCTTTTATGAGTCCCAAGGCAAAAGGATACCTCTGAGATGCCCCAAGCATGACAAGTAGGATGCTTTGGCCGAGCTTGTTTACTTTTTCTCTGTCCAAGCCTGTAGACTTGAGGTTCGAAACCGGTGAAGTGTTATTGATGTAGAAGGATTTACATGTCGAGCTGACGGACCGAGAATAAGGGAAGACGTTATAGTATAAAGAGTAATATGTACTTCAATGTTCCTTTACAGTGTCAACAAAGTGTTTATATGGTGCAAGATGATGTCTTTTTTTCTGTCGAATAACGGACACAGTCATTCAGGGTTATAAGTGGAGGGTTGTACGTGAAGCGCAAATCCAGGATCCCCAGTAGTGGCCCAACAGAAAGTTGAAGTTCCCCGCTCTCCACTCTTTCCCGCCCACCAGTTGGCCCACTTGTTATCTTGGCATCTCGTTGGTGAGCAGTGTACATAGGTATGTATGATTGAAGTTGAGCAGAGAGTGATGAGTTGTAGTATCACGCACAAAATGGGTATCGAGGCAGATGGTTACCAGAAACACGTTGTTCAATGTTTCATTTGTCTTTATTTGTGTTGAGCCGGCGTAGTACTAAATTTACGCAGGAAGGTACAATACCTAGTGGCAGATAACGTCCGTGCTTTTCCTCAGCTGAGGTCGCCTTAGCTCAGTTTACAGGGGATCCATCCAACACACGTCACTACAACCCATCGGGGACCTCCACTGCCAGCTCTGCTCACCACCACCACCCACCCACCCACAGATTCACCGTCCACTGCCTCACTTCCAACACAACACCACCATTGTGCGCAAACATATCCGCTATCGCATATTCTAAGTATACGACAAGCGCATTGTCATTATCAATACAGACACGCGCAATCGAATCAATCAGGTTTACTATTCTGATACCAAACACATACACCATTGACCAACTATCACATTGTGACTCGGAATCTCCCCACAGACAGCAAACATGTCGGGCACCACCAACAGCTGGCTCGCGAGGCAGCGCAAGTCGGACTTGGTTGAATTGGCGAGGGAAATCGGTATAACTAGGTAAATCCACTTCTTTCAGTTTGTTGCTTGTTTGTTCCTATCATAGCTCGTGTCCTGGCGATGATCGGTCATGACAATGCTCTTGTTTTGTTTACTTTCTGGTATTCGCTTTGCGCCTCGCGCGCGCGCGCTCACCACTCCGCGCAAGGCTGAGCTCTCCTTTCTATGCTATCCCATCGAGCGCATGTTCAGTCTAGTCTAGTCTCAAGCGAGTAGACATGTCTTGGGGATGGCGTCAGCACCAAAAGACATTCGATGACGCCCTGCCTTGCCGGACCTGCTGTGTACCTCCCCGGGAACAGACAAGGGCCGGAAGCTCCCCCGCGCCTGCGTGCCGCATCCCGCCTCGCGTACCTGGCTCCTTTGTTGACATTCGTCCCGTTTGGGATTCCCCAATCGCTGAACAATGCCTTTCATCGGAGCTGTACTAACAAAACACCCAGCCTTGATGGTCTGAAGAAGAGTGATATCGAACAACACCTCGACAACTTCCTCTCCCAGAACGCAAACCGTTTCTCCTCTGACTCGCGCTTCACTTCCTACTTCAACAGCCGCGCTCGCCAGTCGCCCATCAAGCGCGAAAGCGATGTGACCCCCAACCGAGCCCCCAGGCGGAGGGCCACCAACAAGGTCGAGGTCGAGATTCCTGCTGCCACCATCGAAGAGTAAGTCTCCAGTTTCTACGAGGAAAAGGCACATCAGAAAACTAACAAACATTGCTTCCAGGTCCGACTCCATCCCATCCACCACATCCCCATCCCCCGAGCCCGATTCCAAGCAAGCTCCAGCGCCCTCAGAAGTCCTTCACGCCGCCGCTCAAGTGACTCAAGACGCCATTGTCTCCACCGCCCAATCTGCCGTTCAAAACGTCCAAAACCCCGGGCACGCACTCTCCCAGCTCAACAACACTTTCTCGTCCTCCACCTTGCGCCTGCCCGCCTCCCAGGCCGAGCTGGCCCAAGTTGTCGAGTCCGGCACCCTCGCCGTGCGCAACCGCGTCTCGGACCTCTACCGACGTTCGGGCATCCACGAAAAGGCCGAGACCGTTCGCGAGAGCCTGTCCACCGTCAACAGCGTCGCCGTCACCGCCGCCGCCTTCGAGCTCTACTTCCTCCGCAAGGAGGTCATCCCCGACCGCTACGCCTTCACCATCCCCGCCGTCAAGCTTCTGGGCGGCATGCTCGGCTGGGATGAGTACCCCGTCTACGTTCCCGACATGTTTGCTTTGGTGACGGCCGGCTTCTGGATCCCCGCTTTGGTGTGGACTACCACCAGCTTGATCCTCCCTTCATTGTTTGGTTACTTCTTCAACTTGTCGGTGGCGCACTCGAATCCCTTCTCCACCAACTCGGGCCCGACGACCAGGAGACAAAGCAGGGAGTTGAGCAAGCGGGAGCCCGAGTATGCGGTTGATCCGGTTACGTTTTCGATTGCCAAGGCGTTGATCACGTATGTGGTCTATGCCCAGGGTGTGACGTTCGGTGGCTGGCTGGATCCTGATGCCGTCTTCAGGATCAATGGCGCTCTCTACAGTGGGTGGAAGGGCGTGTTGGTTGGTGCGGCGGTGACGGGTGTTTCTGGCCTTTATGATGCTGTGCTGAGGAAGTAAGGAGGGTGATGGTATAGTCGGAAAATGTGGGGATTGGCAGCAAGTGCCGACGAGGGACGGGAAGTGTGGAGAAAGGGGGAGAATCGAACAATGAGGTATGGGCTGGGCTTGAGGAAGAAGCCAACGGACGGACGCTTTGGGGTGGATGTCAAGACGCGATCTGAAACGGGACTGATTGGTACATGGACGGAATTCTGGGGAACGAACGAACGGTACATAACACGACAAAACAAACACAAGAGGAAAAGAAACGAAACGGACGGTTGGTTGGATGGTACAAGGTTTTGTATAGGGATTTGTCTGAATAGGTAGCGGCGTGTATGGTGGCTTCTCCAGCTTGTTGGTCAATCCTTTTGATACTTGACATACTAGTTTGCCTTATTTTCTTTGGCTCGATTGATATGAATTTGTTTCTTGTTCAGTTCAACTGCGAGCCATGCTCGCCTTATATTACCTGTGTTTTCGGGCTTACAATTGGTTTCATTGGTGATCTTGTTGGAGTGAGGAACCCAAACAGTCACCTGGTCTAGAGACTGATGTCTTTTGGGACTTGATAGGCGTTTTCATGTGGATGTAAATACCTTGATATCATCTTCAAGCTAATGAATTTGGAGATACCATGATAGTGCTCAGCACAACTATGATGCTTATTCAGCGGGCATAACAACTGATGATTTGTTGAATTTCGACGTCTTTCAATTCTTCATGTCTGATGATGTGCTGAAACCCCCCAAAATCTCTCGTCGCGAGCAAGTACGATAATAAATCACACAACCTCAAAGTTTCGAAACCCCCCAAAATCTCTCGTCGCGAGCAAGTACGATAATAAATCACACAACCTCAAAGTTTCGAAACCCCCGGTACACTCCCACCCTCAACAACCCCCTTCGGCCCTCCCTCCCCATAAACAATTGCCAAATCCAACTCCAGTCCATCTCCCTCCACCTTCACGTCCTCCTCCTCCCCATCACCACCACCACTAGGCCCAAACCCATGTTTAGCCATCCACCTCCTCTTCATCCCCTCCACCTCCCTCCCCGGCCTAACCCTCGCATCAACCACCCACAAAACCGCAATCACCACCTCCGCCAACCGATGCGTTAGCCCTCTCGCCTCCGACACCAACTTCTCCTCCTCCTGCTGTTTCTTTCCCTTGTCCAGAAACTTTTTCTTCAATCCCTCCCAAACCTTTTTAATTCTCTCCCTTTCCTCCTCTTTTGCTTCTTTCCCTTCTTCCAACGAAGCCGCTAATCCCGTCTCAACCAACCACTCTAGAGCTTTCACCCCTGCCGAGGGATGTTTGAGCGCCCGGAGAGTATCGGAAGCCAAGACGTCCGTCGTGCCTTCCCAGATGGCGCCGACGCAGGCGTCCCGAAAGAGACGGGAGAGGTTGAGGTGTTCGGAGTCGGAGTTGAGGAGGTAGCCTAGCCCGCCGAGAGATTCCATGCAGCTGAAGGAGAGGGGGATGGTGGAGTGGCAGATGAAGGACTTGTGGAGGGAGGAGAGGGTGCGGAGGAGGGGGGAAACTTTGGGGGTGGGGGGTGTTAAGGGGTGGATGGGAGGGGGGACTACAGGAGGGGAAGAAGAGGAGGAAAGGTGTTCGTCCAGTCCCAAGATATACAAAGTATAAAAAGTCAGTAACATCAGCCCGTGATATTCAGCCGTCAAATCAGCCAACGTGCGCATGTGCAATGGGTGTTTGTAAAGAGGTAATCGACGGCCCTTTCCAACGCCAGCTTCGCGGACGAGCGCATACGCTTTGGCGACACCTATGCCGCGCCCAAGGTATCCCATCGACGAAACAGTCGTATGTACCCGCGTGATGTTCAGAATCGTCGAGATCTCCTTGATGCCTTCCCCTTCTTGGCCAATTAACCACCCGCGCATGTCCTTCAGCTCTAGTTCGGCAGTCGGCAAACTAACTGTGCCGAACTTGGTCTTGAGGCGGGAGATGGTCACCCCGTTGAGTTCCGTGCCGCCGCCGCCTGTGGCCCCGGTTCCGGTGAATGTGGGCGAAACTAGCTCGGGATTCCATCGTCGCATCGGAGCAAAAAAGGCTGAGACTCCCATGCCTGGACGCGTCTTGGCGAGGAGGATGGTCATTTGGCTGTCGGTGGCGGAGGAGAACCACTTGAAGCCTGAGATGGACCAAGGACCCAAGGGCATGTTTTCTTCTTTGGAGGCTAATGGGACTGGATGCCCCGCGGGAAAAGGGGAATAAGTAGCGACGGTTTCGGTCTGGGACACGTCCGACCCGCCGGTGCGTTCCGTCATCCATTGGCCTGAAGTCCAGGTGTAGGCCGGGTCGCGCGAAGTGAGGTGGTCGTAGGCGTTTTGGAAGACGCTCTTTTCGGTTTCAGATAGGTTCGCCGCCAGTTGGGGGGTGGTCAGGTGGCGCTGCAGCAAACGGGCGGCGCCGTCCTGCATCGCGGCCGGACACATGGTGTTGGCGCACGAGGCTTCCCAGAGGTGGCAGCGGAGGAACTGGATCAGCCGCGAGTAGGGGCCGTTAGACGGCGAGCTACTGTCGTAGTTGATGGCCACGACGCCGTTGGCGAAGCCGAACTCTTGTAGCTTGCGCCAGCCTTCGGTCACAATGAGTTCCTGTTTGGGGCGGCCGAAGGCGTCGCGCCCTGAGCCGCGGAGGTAAGGGGTGTTGCGCTCGGCGTCGGTGATCCAGTCGAAGATTTGCTGGGAGAGAACGGCGTCGCCTAGGCGGGAGATCTCGGGGGTGACTTTCTCGAGAAGGGAAGGAGGGAGGTAGACTGCGATGGATGTTAGGTGGTGGTCTGTCTGGGTTGCGGAATCAGGGGGTTTGGGGGGTGAACGTACGTTTGGCTATCCGCTGGAGACTGACATCTTCGTGAAACTGGTTCTTGATGATGGGCTGTTGCTGGATGAAGCCCGTGTTTGCACTTGATGGTTCCATGTTGTCAGTGGTGATTGAGTGAACTCGTCGAGCTTGTTCAACTCCAAGATGAATTCATGAGAAAGCCATGATGGTCGACCGAGCTAGATGCCAGCTCAGGCCGACGTGATTCAATAGACATCTGAGTGGCTTGCCCATATGCATCGTTTGGTGTCTTAGACTAGTGAAAGAAGCCGAGGTTCGTGGGTCTAGTGAACAATGAACGTCGAACGTGTTCCCCTTTGGTGATGGTCCTCGTACAACCCTGGTCCCTCCCTCCTCCAATGAAAAACCTGGGGAAGCGAAGAGACAAGGCGGGGTGCCAAACCTGGGGATTTGGGGAACTTGTCAAATCTGAGTTTCAGGTGGTTGACGATCGTCTTTTCTATGACGCTTTCAGAAAACTTGGAAGGTTCTCATTGAAAATCCGAAGATTCCGAAAACTGAAAGACAACAGAGTTCACATCGGGAGCCGATCAAGAGGCATAGACTTTGGTCAAAAGTGATTTGGATTTTGCCAAACAGGAATCACAACAATATAAACAAAGCCTCAGCGTAACGCCATCAAGGTCATCACATGTGGCATACCTCTCTATCCAAAAAGATACAACGCACAAAGTTTTGTATCTCCCCAACCATATGCGATCCGTTCGTCATGTCCTGTCATGTCCTGTTTGATATCCAGAAGAAAAATGAAAGAAAAATAGACCGCCATAAAGCAAAAAATAAAACTCCAGAAATGTGAAAACTCCTAAAATCATGAAACCATCACTCTATTCGCATCACACATCTAGTGGAACTGATCCTCAGTGACACCCTTGCCCATCGCCGCCGTGGAGCTGACACCACCGGTGACCATCTTCTGCAGCTCATCCACGTACGTGGCGCCCGACCACTTCTGGTGCTTGACGACATCGACGCCGTTGTCGATTTCGGGCTCCTGGACGAGCTCGCCGTAGGCGCGCATGCCGATCTTGCTGTACGCCTTGGCGAACTGGTCGCTGATGAGCGCCGTGGTGTGCAGACCCGCCAGGGTGATGAACTGCCAGCAGTAGCCGAGCTTGGCGAGGCGGCGGATGTACGTCTCCTGGTCGTCGCGGCCCATGGCGGTCTTCCAGTTGAAGGAGGGAGAAAGGTTGTAGGCGAGCTTCTGCTCAGGCCAGACGGCGTGGACGCCCTTTGCGAACTCCTCGGCCTGAGCGTAGTCGGGAAGCTTGGACTCCATCCAGATGGCGTCGCAGTAGGGAGCGTAGGAGATGGCGCGGTTGATGGAGCAGTCGCAGCCGCCCTTGAGGCGGTAGTAGCCCTCGCGGGTACGGGGGGAGTCCCAGTCGAAAAAGATCTCCTGGCCGAGGAGCTGGCGGGCAATGGCGCGGGCCTCGCGGTTGGAGATCTGCTTGCCCTTGACGGCGGCCTGGTACTTGGCGGCGAGGTCCTTGGCGTTGGAAAACTTGCCCTTGGCGATGACATCAAGGACGGCCTCGTCGAAGCGCTTAAGGTCGGCCTTGGCGAGCCAGTCGTCCTCAATGGCCTGGAGCTGGGGACCGGTCTTGCCCTCGGCCTCAGCCTTCATCATGAGGTCAGCGAGGGGCTCGAGGTCGGGGTTGGTGCAGCCGAGGATGAAAGCGTGGTCGCGGGGGTCGATGGTGGTGGTGATGAGGGTGGCGGCCTCGGCATCGGTACGGGCAATGCAGAGAAGGTCGGAGCCCATGATATCAGCCTGAGCACGGATGGCGACGAGACGGTTGATGTGCTCCTGGATGGGGACGAGGACCTTGCCGGCCATGTGGCCGCACTTCTTGGTACCAGGGGCCTGGTCCTCAATGTGAATACCGGCAGCACCCTTTTCAATGAAGAGCTTGGTGAGCTTCATGACGGCGGTCAGACCACCGTGACCGGTATCGGCATCGGCAACGATAGGGCGGAGGTAGTCAATGTTGGCGAGCTTCTCGCGCTGGTCCTTGGGGACGGAGAGACGCTCCTGGCGCTGCTTGCGGTCGTGGAAGAGCTGGGCCATGAAGAGGTGGCCAACCTTGTTGGGGACGGTGGTCTAGATGCGGATATCAGTATGGGAGGGCTCAATGGCTCGTTTTCACTGAGAAAAAAACTCACGTAGGGGTAGTCAGCAAGATCCGGGCCGGGCTCGTCAGAAGAGGAGGCGGTCGAGGATGATTGCCAGCCGGAAACGTAGACGGTATCGAGGTACTTGGCCATCTGGGTCACCATGGTAGGCTCCAAGCAGCCGTATGTGTAAGAGGCATCGCGCTTCTGTTGCCGAGTGAGATTGTCAGTGAGATTGTTTCCCCCTCAAGTTTTCCAATGGCAGATGGTTACTAACAGCGAAGCGGTCCTCGAGGATCTTCCAAAGCTTCTTGGCCTGCGCATTGCTGGCGTACTCGATCTTGAGGTTTCCACGCTTGGAGACGATCTGCTCAGCGGTGAAAGGGCGCTTGGTTTGCCTCCAGCGTGAGTCGCTCCACCACTTCTTGACCTCCTCCACCTCCTTGGCGAAAAGCTCGTCCTCGAGAGCGGGATCCACGGCGGGGTTGACCATGTTGTTGGCAGCCATGATGGGCAGGTGTGGTATGAAAAACGATCAAAGGGTATATATAATAAGGATTAAGACGTGAGGCAACACAACTGTGGTGTGTGTAGTTGATGTCGTGAATATTTAGTAGTACCTAGCACTCAAAGCAAGGACGGTAAAAGGATGATGTCGTGTGGATGGATAAGAGTTCAAGGTGGCAGTGTTGACTTGAAACTCGGAGTCGGAGATGTGATACAGAATAGTAAGAACAAAGAAATTCAGAGAGGAAATGGAATTGGAAGGGGGACCAAGTTTCTTAAGAAAGGAACCGAGGAAGAAGCAGACGGAGCTCCAAACATATGAATCAGGAACACAGTCATGGCCAAGCAAGGTTCGGCGGAGACACGGACTGGAACCGGAGCGTGGGTGCCCTGACTGGCTTCATCTTCTTCCCCGGTCATCCCCATCATGGGTGGATGGAGGCTGTCGGGGACATGGCAACATTGGGGAAGGGAAGATGGGGAAATAGCCGCTAGACCGGTCGCTCCCGATCAATCTCAAGAGTAACTCTTCCTTCGGGGTTTCGACTTTTTGACGGTCAATCGGATGCCTGGATGTCATTGGCGATCGGACCTCTGGACGTGTCTGACTCGAACATCAGTTTGAATCCGTGTGGAGCCCGCTCCGCGAGACTGTGGGCAAATATACGGGGGCCCAGGAGTGGCACAGTACACTACACTATGTATAAGCCGAGGGAGGTCCATTTCTCAGTTCTTAGTTCTTGACCCTTAGTTCTTTGCGCCTCGGGACTACTAGCTGTACCTACACGTTGTACCTTGACGAGGCACATAGGTGGCCTATCCCGAGACTGACGACTTGTCGCGAATGTTGCCGTGTCGCGTGCTGTGCTGAGGACGGACGAAGCAGCGTATGTACATAGGTCGATTTTCTCAAGTGCCATCCCATCCCAACCCTTGGCTCTAAACTTTTCGTCAAGCCGATGATGATGCATACCAAGTCGATCTTGGACCAGTCAGAGGGCGTCCTGGGGGGCTTGGCCGCATCCGAAAAGAGGAAGAAGAGAACCCCCCTTTGGCCGAGCCATGTCTCGTTGCAACCCCACATCCTCCATGCTCACCAACCCATGTCCCAGCCAGTCATACATGCTCCGTACCGTAGTGCCCCCGTGAACCGAATTACCGAATGCCGGGACGTTGTCCATCAACGTCGGCGAGCGAGCGAGCCTATGAGCTATGTACAATTGGTACACTACAGCACATCCCAGGCCAATCTTCAGTGCCAAGTTGCCAGCTGTTTTGTGACTGTTGTCCTGGGCCATTATTGCTCGTCTCTTCGCGCCGTTACATACAGCGCTTGATGTTGTTGTTGTTGAGTTGTTGTCGTCGATGTTCCTGATGCTGGAGCCCCTCCCCCGCAGTACCACTTGTTAGATATCCACATTTCTGCCATGTCAACACGGGCATAAGGGTCATTCCATTCCCTATGCCCATGTGCATACATAGTTTATGTATACACACACTACTTTGGACATGAGGATAGACACAGTCTGTCACTGTCATCTCATAGTGACATGACTAGTGTACATACTGCATACAACTAGCCTCATGAACCATCTTCCTCGGGAACCCCAATTTTCTTTTGTTCATTTGTTGAACTTCCCCAGAAATCTATTCGGAGACCGGCGCAAAGCCTCAAAGCCCGAGCCTGGGGAAGGAAAAATCCCCACTACTGGCATGTGAAAGATGCGTCATAGGTAGCCAGCCATAGCGATACCCAATTCCGATCTCTGGGAATAGTGGTTGGGAATGTCAGCACTCCCCCCCTTGATTGGATCGTCCTTTTGACCTCGGTCAACTTTCCGGTGTCCAAGTCAGGTGCCACTCAGCCCACAGTTTGGGGTATACCCCGGAACCCCAGGCCAGGATTTTGCGTGTTCGTCGTTGAGGATATTCCCGATATGATATGATATGGATTGGATTTCGACAACGGGGACAACGCGCGAAGCCCCTTCATGGAAATATGATAAGAAAAAAATGAGAAAAGGTTGAAAAGAAGTAACTCCGAGACGGCTGACTGTTACATGCATCACATGCACAGGTACGCCATTGTCCCATGTGCTTGTGCATTTGTTGACTGATGCTGTTGTTTTTGTGTAGCAATCCCGTTACCGCGAAACAATATAGCAAGGTGCAAAGGTCAAGCCATGTGATTGAAACTCGACAGCTCCATGTCGTCGTACCGGCGTCGACAGTCCAATACTGCTTTTTCTTGTTAGCTGGAGACCTCGGGGCGTTTTCATGCTGTGAATTTGCTTTTTCCCAAAATAAAACACACCGTAATGAATCTTATCCTTGCAAGGTTTGGGACAAGTCGGAAGCGAGCACGTCCAACGTACCAGGAAGAGGTATCAATCGCGCTAACAAACAAACCTGAGCTGGACGATATTATCGCCATCAAATCCTACTGAATGGTTGATCACTGCATGCAAGGAACAATGAAATTCAATCAAACGGTTGGGGGAAAGGGTAGGACTAGAATGGCGTCTCGTATATCCGCCGTAAATACACCTTCGTCTTCAAAACTCCAAAACTGTTGTAACTGCAGGGGTATAATGCCAATGTTGAGACAAGTCAGAAACGCCAAGCCATGTAAGAACTCTTCAACAAAATCAGAGTTCGTCATCCTCATCCTCCTCATCATACAGGAAAATTGTCGTGACTTTTTTCTGCCCCGCCGCCGCCGCCGTCTTGTCGAACGACGTCCCGGCGCCGACGGTAACCGTTCGTGGTTCCTCCACTCCCTCCGTCTTGACGGCCACGGATGATGCACCTAAATCAACCGGTTTGCCAGCTTCAGGAACGGTTGTGGCGATCTCATCAGTTCGCCGTTCCTCAGCCTCAGCCTTCGGCACCGGTGAAGCTGAAGCACCAGCGCGAGGGTTCGGCAGGGAACGAACCCCGTATCCGAGAGCTCCGGTTCCGCGGAGTGGGTCCCCCTCCTCGCCTCTCTCCGCTGCACCGGCGACCGCTCTTTTCTCGGCGATCTCGCCCCTCGTTACTTCAACTCCGGCATTTGGCTTTGACTCACCTAGAACTAGTATCTCCTCATTCGCGACCGCTTTTTCGAGATCAACAGTCTCATCATCATCATCATCATCATCATCATTATCGTCGGTCTTAACCATGGTTGACTCATCATTTTCATCATCATCCTCCGTCTCTTTTTCTGCTTCCATTTTCGCCATTTCCTGTTCCAGTAATTTGGCCTCGCGCCGCCTGTAAAAAGTATCCAAGCAATTTCGCCGCTGCTCTTGCGTCCAGCTTTCCACAACCAGCGCAAAATCGGTCGCGTTCTGAAAGCCAAACTCCCTCGCCATTGAACGGAATTGTCGTCTCTTGACATCCTCGGGCGGGTTGAATCTGCAATGCATCCTAAGCATCTTCTTCGGCGCCGGCCCGTTTAGGTCTTCTTGGTCCTCGTCATCATCATCACCACCACCATCGCTGGATTCTGTACTGTCTGCGAACAGCGCGTTGTTGGCGCCTGCAAAGAGCTGACTGTCCGCAGCGTTCGCTGCCAGTTCGGCCCGCCGTGATAGTTGCGCCTCGACTTTGCTTGTACCGATGACCTCGGAGTTCTCATGGGTGTACTCTACGCCGGCGGAGGCGAGGATGGCGGCAATGGCATCGCTTTTCGGCTTCTTGGACTTGCTAGCTTCAAGCAGTTTGTCCGGATCCTCTGCAGTGACGAGCTTTGCAAGCGAGCTCATGCCCGTATCATCATCTTTGTCCTCACTTTCCTTCTTGATGACGTTCAGTTTGTCGTCTTCGTCCTTGACGGCCTTTTCCATGTCGATATCAGTGAGATTGACACCAGCCTTGGCCTCAGCGATGTTGGTCTTGTTGACAATGTCTCTGAGCACAACCTGGTCGGCGTGGAAAGTGAACAAGTTTTCCAGTCCAAAGAGTTCACCCTTCCTGTTCTTGTCCCTCTGAACACCCTTAAAGTAACGGCGTTCGTTGGAGGCGTTATAGCCTATGTTCGCCTGCTGCTGTTTATAGATCTGCCGAGCGTAAACAATCTCTTCGATGGTCCCGGCGGAGACCAACCGGAAAACATCCACATCTCGGATCTGGCCGATTCGGTATGCACGATCCTGGGCCTGTAAATCGTACGATGGGTTCCAGTGCGGGTCAAAGATGACAACTTTGTTCGCCGATGTAATGTTTAAGCCAACCCCTCCCGCTTTGGTGGAGATGAGGAAAACAAACTGTTGGGGATCCGTATTGAACTCGTCAACGACCCGTTGCCGCTCTTCGTAGCTGAGCGCACCGTCGAGAAAGCTGACATTGTAGCTGGTGTTATGGAAGAGATGCTGCAGGATGCGCAGCAGACGTACACTGTGGGAGAAAACAAGAACTTTGTCTCCATTCTCGTGCCAAAAGCGTAGGAGCTTTCTCAGGATCTTCCATTTTCCGCAGAACTCCGGGTTTGCAAGGCTGAGCATGGACTCTCGATTATTGTAAAGCTCTTTCCACGTATTTGGAGCGCAGGTCTGGAGCACGTTAAGCTCTGAACGTTGCTTTTCCTTTGGGTCGGAAGAGGAAGGGATGAGCAACGTTAAGTGATTTGCGATCTTCTGGAGAGTTATGATTGATGGGAAAACGTAAGATTTCCACGTACGACCGTCACTCAGGGTCTTGTGACAGCAAAAACCTCCAGCTCGCCCAGAGTGACAGTTGCATGGTTGGTAGGCATTGAGGATAAAAGTAACGTGTTCTCCTTCCAAAAAATTCTCGTAGGCGTCGCGTTGGACGTCTGTCAAGGGACAGAACACGACTTTGTCGCTCTTCTTCGGAAGTTGATGGGCAATCAGGCTCTTCATACGCCGGAGGAAGAACTCTGGAAGGAGGTTCTGCACCAGCTTCTTTGCGGTTGTACGGGCAATGCTGAGCTGCTTGAGCGTTGCATCGTGGGACTGGCCTGCGGTCAGAGGCTTTGTTATAGACTCATTCCATTCGGCTCTTGTCCCAAAATAGCCCGGGTTCGTCCAGTTGAGGAGTGTCCAAAGCTCTTCATATCTGTTCTGAATCGCGGTACCGGTTAACCCAATGCGGCACATGGCATTGATTTTATCCATGGCGCGAGTCGTCTCGGACACCGTGTTCTTCAAGATGTGGCATTCATCAGCCACAACACAATCCCACTCAATGGTGTTGACGGCTTCGTGGCAGTTCCTGTACGTGTCGTAGGTAGTGATCATGACCTCAATACGTCCTGACTTGGCTGCCTGCAGCACATCTTCCCTGTTCGATCCATGGTAGACATCGACATGCCACCAGCCCCACCGGTCCAATTCGTTCTTCCAATTCTGGATAAGAGATCCAGGACAGACAATAATGACCCTCGGGTACCAGAGGTCGCCAGCTCGCCGCATCTTTCTCATCCTCTTCGCATCACGCTCGTCTCCCGTCTTGCCGAAGGCTGCCGTAAGGAAGGCAGCCACTTGGACAGTCTTTCCCAGACCCATATCATCGCCGAGAATACAACCCCGCTGGTAGACGAACTTTTGGTGCAGAAACTTGACGCCTTCCACTTGGTAGTCGCGGAGATATTGCGCGATACAAGCGGGGATGGTACCGGCCGAGTACTCGAGCTCGACATCCTTGTAGGGTCGACATGGCTTGATACCAGAGCTCTCCTCGAACTTTGGCCGTTGTTCGTATTTAGTCCCTTTCTCGTCGTCGGAAAAGTAGATGTCGTGAAAGTCTGGGGGTAGCTTCAAGCCGGCGTTGCGCAGCAGCTCTCTGTCCTTGTTAAACTTCTTGCGACGCTCCAACAGATAGTCGGGAATGAAGGCTTCGGCGTAGTCGGTTTCTTCTTCCTTCTTGACAGTAGGCTGGTTCAGCTCGATTATCTCGTCGTCTCTCGTCCTATCTGTCGCAGTAGCAGCCTTCTTTCCTCCCCTGCCTTTCCCCTTTGATCCTCTATCTCTAACTCTCCCTAAAGTAGCACGTCGCTTGGCAGTGCGCCGTGCCTTGAGCTTCTCGCCATTGTCCGAATCGTCTGACCACTCGACCTTTTCCTCGAAACTGACGCTCAACTTACGTTTGCCCAAGGAGGTAGTAGTAGCGCTAGCGCTGCTTTGAGGGCGGAAGTCTTCGTCGAGGGACAATGTGGGATCGTCATCCGACAGAACTATCGCATTCTCAGCCATTGCGCAGGCATGGTATCGGTTGGTGATGGCGACGCGTTGAAAGGTGGAAAGTTGGCGACGGAGGAGCAACATGCAAGGGCCAAATCGCGCCTAGAGAGCGTGAGCACGTGTGGGAGAAGCAGTAGGCGAACCCTAACCCGTAAGCGGTCCGGTCTTTGGAGAGGTCTCTCTGTCTGTCAACTTGTCTCGACAGCACTTTATTTCAGGCCAGAGAAGATGCTTTCCTCACATTGGATCGAATTACGCCCTGAGATTTTTCATTTTCTACAGAGACATGGAAGCTATCTTCATCATGGCTTCATCAGTAATACGTCCACTCACAGCTCAGTGGAGCTCGGCGCTTGCCGATACCTTCCTAACACTAACATCCCACGTTACATCAACTCGCTGACATCGATCCACCAGATCATCACGACGCGAAAAAAAAAACGTGGAAATAAAGTTTGAACCATCGGTCTATCTTGCCGAGAATTCAAGCATCGAACTATTGTCTTGGGCTGGCTTTGGTGTCGTAACAGCGGGCTAGGCGATCCTCTTGAGCTTCCTCTTCCGACTTAGACGCGGTTCTTGCAAAGGGGACTGTTAGCGGTGGAGGGTCCTCAACAGCTCTTATCGGGGGGACCACCTATATCAAGGTGGGGTTCATCCCGACTTAACCTCGCTTCACCTCACCATACTTCCATTATCTCGACTACTTGTACCATCACATCCTTTCTAGACGAAGCGAGAAGTCTTACTCAACTTTCCATTTCATGTGAGAACTAAGCAACCAACCCATCCTTTTCTTCCATCGAAACCCGCCAATCACCACCACAATGGCCTCCGAACCTCCAACCTCCGACGGCCTCACCCCCACCCAACTCTCCTTCTTCCACCAAAACGGCTACCTAATCATCCCCCGCGTCCTACCCCCCACCACCGTCTCCCGCCTCCTCTCCGAAACCCAGAAGCTCCTCTCCGACTTCGACCTCACCACACACCCCCTCACCCGCTTCCGCACCGGCGGCTCCTCCGGCCACGACCACGTCGGCGACGACTACTTCCTTTCCTCAGGGGACAAGATCCGCTTCTTCTTCGAAGAAGACGCCTTCGACGACGCCTCCGGAAACCTAATCAAGCCCAAAGACAAGGCCATCAACAAGATCGGACACTACCTGCACGGACTCAACCCTGCCTTTGCGAGTCTGCTAGCCACCAGCCCGGATGATGAGCGGGGGTGGGTGGAAGACCTAAAAGCGCGCCCGGCGGCCGTGGCGCGGGACTTGGGCTTCAAAGACCCGCGGTGTCTGCAGAGCATGGTCATTTGCAAACAGCCCGAGATCGGCGGGGCGGTGCCTCCGCATCAGGACAGCACGTTTTTGTATACCAATCCTCCTTCGGCGGTGGGGTTCTGGTACGCGCTGGAGGACGCGACGCTGGAGAATGGGTGCTTGAGCTTTCTGCCGGGGTCGCATTTGTGGGCGCCGATTGAGAAGAGGTTGGTTAGAAAGGAGGGTGCGAAGGAGGGCACGGAGATGGTGGATAATGATGGGCCGAGATTCCCGCCTGGAGAACAGTATGGTGAGGATAAGAAGCCGGAGGAGGTCAAGGGCAGGGAGGAGGAGGCCTACGTTCCCGGGGAGGTCAAGGCGGGCGATCTGGTGCTCATTCATGGCAATATTTTGCATAGGAGTGAGAGGAATTTGAGCCAGAAGGGGAGGATTATCTATACCTTTCATGTTATTGAGGGTGAGGAGGGGAGGGAATACGATGAGAGGAATTGGCTGCAGCCGCCGCAGGAGGGATTCACGAGGTTGTATGCTTAGAGATTGGCCGATGTGCACGAGGATGAGGATGACTATGAATTGATCTCCTTGATGGTCACCGTAAATCCCAACATGTATCAACAAGCGTTGCTTTAGTCAAGTCCGTTCAGAGTCAGTCTTCATGGAGTGGGGCATTTGCATCGAGACGTGGTGACTCCGAGTCGAACCCTTCACAATCACCGCATAATGGATAGTCGGAAAGATTGATGTCAACCGAGTTCTGAAACACTACAACACCCAAATCATTGGGTGCCTGATCATCAAAGCTTAATTTCCTCCGCGGTCTGTATGATCCTGGCTGACCAAGTTGCTGGATCCGTATATAATCTCCCTGTAGATTACTTTCAGCCTTGGAACCATGCTTAGCGGATGATCACGTAGCCCCAACTGACTGTTTAGACCATTCTTCATATTGACACCCCATTCTGAATTCACTTATCTCGTAAAAGTCATTGAAAGATCAACAAATCAAGTCGCTGTTTCTCTTTTTGTTGTGGTGGTTCCTAGCTCGAACTTTCTCTCTGTCGATTGCAGTCATTCCATGACGTGTGCTTGGTGGTATTCGGTATAACATCAAGATGTTTGAAAAGAAGAAAAGAAGAGAAGAGAAAAAAAGTTAAATGGGAAATAGGTCGCAAACGGGTGACAAGAAGTGAAGATGGTGAAAAAGAGATAGCAAGATGACAGGATAACAAGTAGGGGGAATATAGAAAAGAAAGAGAAAAACCACACCGAACCAGCACCCGGCAACCTTTGTCTTGCCATCCAGCCCTCCCCCCCTAAAGATCCAGCGAAGAAGCGGAGGTAGAAACAACAACCGTTAACCACACGTCAGCATCCCCGTGGTTGAGAAACAGCAGCAACAATCGTCCATTCCTTGTCAAGGTGGATTGGATATCCTGCCTGTCACCCTCCAGCAGCACCAGACCAAATGTCGCAATATCGAAAAGTATGAATTCCTGCTCCACCTCGATTCTTCCTAAACCATGTTTTCGCACGTCCTCAACGAAGAAGCACAAGTTGACCAAGCGTCGCAACCGTCTTGTGTCGTTCCAGCTCGTTGACTTCCGCCCGTACTGTTCCTCCTAGCTTAAACCGGGCTTACAGGAAAGCTCCTCACACCACCACTCAAATCGCCGCTCCCTGTCCTCCGAAGCGCTTGTGACATTGTCTCGATAGCAATTTCGCCATTTACAACCGGGCTAGGGTGCAAAAGACTTGTTGGGCTTCCAAGGGGTTTCCTTCCTGGAGATCCCGGAATAGCGCCAAAATCCAGTCCCTTCACCGATCCAGACTTGCTCGTTGGGGGGCTTGTGTTGTGACCACCAGAAGAGGAGACTGGAGAGCGAACGGGGCTCGGTGAGCGGTTGATACCAGTGGGGGTGAGGCTAGTCAAACCAGCAAAGTGCATGCTATCGCGCGAGCCTGCAACCTGTAGCTGCTCGGCCTGCACGACATCGGCAAACGAGATGAAGCTCAGACGGCGGACATCCGTGTTATCAAAGCTACCGTAATTGGAAGCTGTCTCGTTTCCAGTTATTGCCCCCCGCGCAGCAGCGAAGGCGGCCAGTTCGTCTGCCCAGCTTGACTCAAGGGAGAGAGGGACAGTAGTAGGGGCAGCTCCGGTCACCGTCACGGCGGCGGGCTGGTGCGAGGTATGAGTGATAATCTCAACGGTATCGGGGTCAAGGCGCTTGTCGGTAATGGCCTGCGAGGAGGCGTCAAGCACGGGTGGGATGTAGTTCTCGGTCTGGATGTGAGACGGGATGGCAGGAGAATTTGGGACCATAGAAGTGCTTTCTTGTACGTCGCGCTCGAAGATTTGGCTACCAGCTGGCGATGAAAGGCGTGGCGATGAGGTAAAGCCACGGCCGGGCGATTGTGGTGTGATGTAGACGTCGGACTGAACAGGCGAGGCACCGGTTGACCTCTTAACCCAAGAGGTAGCCTTTTCTTGGCTAGTGGTGGATGGTTCAGGCGATTTTGAAGCGGACGATGCGTCTTCCTTCTTCTTTCCAAAGCTAAAAAGGCTGCGCTTCTTGGCCTTCTTCTCCTCCGACGCTCCTCCCTCGTCTCCGGCTACCGCTCGTGGGGTTGCGTTTCCGGAGCCTGAATCGGACTCAAACGGGCCCGCTAACCTTGGGATACTCTGGCCGCCCTGGGGCAGCGATGTGCTGGCGAGACTCATAATGATTGATGAATTTGGTGCTGCGATAGTACTGATTTTCGTGCTCGGTTATCTCGGATTCTGGGGGGAAATGCAGATGTGAAGTACTGGACGCGAATGGCGTTTATTTAGTGTTTGGGACGAAGTTGGAGGACAAAGAAGAGCAAGTTCCAAGCTCCAGCTAAAGCTTCTCAAGGTCGGGACAAGTGGAGAGTCTAGAATCAACACCGGGATCTGGTCAGCGCAAGCTATTTTGGGAACAGCAGAAATCGAGCGCGGAGCAGATATGGTGATCTAAGATGGAGCTTGGTTTTGAAATTCCCCAATTTCGGCTGGCGGCGACAGTGGGGAGTGAAAATGGATATTGTGTTGTCGTGACAACAGCGAACAGGGACAAGCTCTTCCGTCCTGGCCCAGGATGGACAAGAGCAATTCGCGAGGCTGTCGCATGCCCATTACGCATCGCTAAGCTCAAGTGGGATGAATGATTACGGCAATCCGTCACTCCCATTCCACATGATGACTGCGATTGAGATTGGGACTGTGACGTGGACAGGGAAGGGTGAGGAAAGGTGCGCCCTTACCAAGTACTGGTAGTTGTCCAATAACCAATTTGTACACTTTCTGGTTGATTATGTAGATTGTGTCCCTGGTGATGACGAGATGTTAAGGGACCAGAAGAGGAGGGGAAGAGAAAAAAAACAAGTTTGCCCAGGTCGGCTTTTGGCGTTATGAGTGATAACTCAGGAAGGAAAATTTGCGCACGTCCGGGTATGGTGGGAGAGAACTAAGGATCGCGGGATGAGGAGGAGGGAGCGACGGAAGGGTGCAGTGATGTTCGTGTTGGTGTGTGTCCGTCCAGTCAGTCGCAGTCACCACTGGCAATAAGGCAGCGTGTGATGTGATGTCCCGATGCAGAAGTCAAAATGGAAGAAGCTCGGACGGTCTCTTCTCTGGACCTGGATAGTGGATGCTCCAGGTCACCCTTGGCGCGCTGTGATGGGGCCGTTGCCGACAAGGTGCTGGGTGTCCCCTGGATCTGCCCGCTGCAGTCTCGGGCGCAAATGCGATCCTGAGCAAGCCGCAGATTCCGCTTTGGGAGTTAGTGTTTGTTAGAGCTGTTGGCCTTTTCAACTCTTTACGCGTCGAGGGCTGCCGAAAGTGTTTGCAGATTGGGATGTGTTGTACCGGAGTCCAAGAAGTCGGACAAATGCAATTCAACTGGCAGACAACGAAAAAGGATTTGAACGGGCGGGAACGCACGACATAAAAGATTTCTCCCGTGTCTATCGCCGACCTGTTTGTCGAGCCCAACATGTCTCTAAACGAGCTGTGTTAACTGAACAAATCAAGAACAAGCGAAGGCCCGATGACGACGGTCCAACCGACCCACTCTCCCACTCTAGGAATTCTACAGAGCTAGTATCATTGTAATATACCGTAAGCTGGACTGCCGTGGCCGCCTGAGAGCCATGCAGTGAGCGTAAAGCGGTGTTTCGGTTGAAAGATCACCATTGGCAAAACATGAAATATGTAGTAGTCCTTAGAGGCATCACCATCACGATATCAAGTATGTACTGTCTACCTCTAGGTAGGTTGGTCTGAATCACACTTGATGACACGCCAAAGGCCTTGTTTTTAACCTTTTAGAGATTTCCAGGTCAAGCTTCAATGCTCACTAGCCGCCAAGGTCCGGATACTCTGCAACGAAGATTTTTACAAAGGGCAAGGAACAAGCCGACAGCACAGTTGACCCTCTTTTGGTCACGCAGCAGACCTCAAAACTCAGCCCTGAGAAGCATTGGACCAAGGGAGGGGATTTTTGGGACAAGAGAGTGTCGGCCGGGTGCGGGAGGTGATACGAGTCTGGTGATACGGAGTCGTGCCTGGATGTCGAAGGAACCGGGAGATAGTGCTTGATTGGGCCGGCCACCGTGTCACATAATAATACCAACCCAATCAAAATTATTTCCCTTTTTTGGCCGCGACCTGATACTCTACTGAGACGGGCTGACTTGTCCAAACACATGATTGCAGTCGGTCGCAGTCGGGTCGACGGTATCAACAACACTTCTATCAATTTCCATCACCAGGTCATGAAACTGACCCCATTCAAGCCCCTCCCATTCAATTCACAACTTGGCAATAGGGCCTCGCCCTACTCACAAAAGAAGATTTCTGTCGGACCAAGTTCCGGGTGTAGGTCGTCTTGCTCTCAGCCCACTTATCGATCACAAGAAGAGCACCTGATGCCGTGGGGTGTTGGATGTGCCTGGCATTTCGACCCTGAAATTGAGACAGAATCAGGTGGGGAATGCTAGTCTCTACGTCACACGGCGTCCGACAACGAGCCTTTTCCAACTTCACATCAGTGTCGCTTGTGCACACTACCGGCGCCATGCCATGCCATTCCATGTATCCATCATCCCGGGACCTTTTAAGCTTCCGGCATCCAGAATTCTAGACTCGGACCCGACGATTCCAGCATCGGTTGCTCAAGGTATACAGATCGTTGGATTTGTGGTTGTTTCCAGCACCACAGCACAGCCTGGCGCAACTAAACGAATTCGAAGACCATTACGCTGCCTCACCCTGGACCATAACGACAACCCAGGAATCTGGGGAAGCAAATGCGGGGTTGCCAAAAGAACCGAGCTCGCTTGTGGTTTCCTCCAGTGTCTTTTTCTATTTTCTTTTTCACGGTGAGTCATGTGAGTGGCTCTTCAAAGGAAAATAAGGCGTATTTCTATTTTAGCTAACACACGTCGACGCGGATGTTGGTGATATTTTTGGAGTTTCTTTGCCAACTCGGGGTGACGAAAATGTGAAGAGCTTTGTTAGCTCACCTCAAAACCCCTGCATAATCGTCACGCGTTTCCAATTCGCCTCAGAGGTGTCCCGATACACTCCGACGAAAGCCAGATGGGCCGACCGGACAACATCGTGATCGTGTCTTGTGTACAGAAAGCATGATTATTGTTCCACACGCATCTCGCGGTTCATGCGGTACCCGTAGTCTCCGGTCACCGATGGACAGTCTGATCAGGTAACGACTAACGAGTAGTATCTGGGACATGTGGAAGGCTGCCGGGCCCAAGTGTGAAAAGAGGAATGTATCAATGGGCCGAATCTATCCGGGCAACCGGGCGGGGCCCGGTTGGTGCTCAAACAAGAACAACATGGGATGAACCGAAGAGACCCACTGTGTCCGGCCGTCAAGGTCCGCAGAAAATCGGGGATTGGAGCGGAGGAGTGGAGCAGATAGCCCGCAGCTCCCGACAGGTGGCCCAAGCGTTCGTTGTTTACTTCAGTTTCGAACGGCATACACGGACCGTGCACTCACCACGTGACCTTGATTAAGCGGTTTCCCGAGAAAAAGTTCATGTCCGATGTGGGATGGCAAGCACGCGGAGCTCGTTGAGAGACAGAGACGCTGAACGTGAACCAGGCCGATTGAGGTGGACGGGTGAACAATTGGACGACCAGATCCCCCGCATTCGCGATATCCGAGAATTAACAGGCGTCCAATTTGCAGTTTGCGACGGAAACGTGATCCCGAAAAATAACAGAGAGACCTCTCATAATCTTCTTGCTGAACTTTGTTAAGCCGTCGACTCTTCTTATTTTTTTTTTTCCGCAAATCGCCTGCAACCCGAAACCTCGTCCCCTCTTTCGACGATCCCACCCACCTCGGCTCTCCGACCAATCCCGTCGTCCCCGTCTGTACAACTTCTTCACTGAAGCCACAGCACGACGGTCAGAGTGTAAACAAAGCAACAGAGACAATCAACAAAAATGGAGGCTTCTCTTTCCCTGTTCCGGCCCGCGGCCACCTGTTGCCGCCGCGTCGCGCTCTCCTCCTCCTCCACCCAAAAGACCGCCGTCGCCGGCATTTCCGTCCGCTACCAGTCGACCGCGAACCGGACAAAACGCATGCTCAACATTCCTCCGCACGAGTCCTTCCTCAACGTGCCCGTCGAAGGCGACCGCATCATCTTCAACCCTCCCTCGTCCGAGGCCTCGGTCTACCACACGCCCTTCAAGTTCCTCCCGCGCTCCGACCCGCGCCGCCGCGCAAACATCTACAAGCTCTTCAAGCCCCCTCAAGCCCCCATCACCACGCCAGAGTCCTCCACCGATGCCGCCGCCGAGCAGCACGGAGACCTACCGCCCGTTCTCTACAACCCCACAAAGTCGTACAACGTCACGCCCGAGCAGGTCGAGGAGATCCGCGAGCTGCGCGCCAAGGACCCCAAGAAGTACAGTGTCACCTACCTTAGCAACAAGTATAACTGCACAAAGGTGTTTATCATGATGTGCACTCAGGCGCCTCGCGAGCACCAGGAGCAGCACAAGCTTGCGCGCGCCAGGACCGCCGAGAACTGGGGCCCCCGGAGAGCGGCTGCCAAGCTGGATGCCAGGAGGAGAAAGGAGATGTTGCATCGTGGCGAGATATAGATGCGGATGGACTGGGGTTGGGGAAAACGTTGAAGAAGACGAAGGGGGGGGAGGAAGAGGAAGAGGAAGAAGCTTTCCCAGGGCGGAGGAGGCTGCGGATGAGGGAGAAAGGAGAAATAGGGAGCGGCTGGGTCTTCTGGTCTGGTCCGGTCCGGCTTTCGGTTGCTTTGCTTCCCTGCGCGCGGCATTTATACTATTTCTTGGTAACCTGTTGTTCTGGTCTAGCTGTCGAGCGGGTTGGAGGGAAAAGCCTGTTCATCTTGCCGGTATGAGACAGCGCTAAAAGCGGCAGGGCAAACTTCCTAGCTCAGCTCAGCCCATCGTTATGCGCGACAGGGCGGGAGTGTGTGAGCTGGTTGTCGACATACGCGCACAAAGGGGCTGCGGTAGATATAACCACCAGCAACCAACAACCACCTCAGCCTCATCACCGACCGTCCGACCGGCCTGCCAATTTCTTCGATCTGCCCCCCATCCAAGCCCGCCAGCGATAACATGAGGAGAAGAAAGGAGAAGAAGAAGAATGAGACGGAAAGCCAGGAAGGAGATTGTTGCCATACCCACACTTTGTATTACTAGTCACAGCACAGCGCATAAAAAAGGGGAGACAGAGACGCAGTTTGGTCACGACTATTTGCACGCCTTTGTACGATCAGGAATGGGTAGGTAGGTAGGTAGGTAGGTAGAGGCTGGGTGGGGGGGAAGGGAAACGGAAAATGGGTCGGTTGGTTGGTCGGCAGCCGAAATGGGGGGTTGGGTTGGTTGGTGTGAAGTGTGTTTGTTGTGCCTCACACTTGAGCCGGCAACAACAGCAACAACGACAACACCTCTGTACATACGTTCATGTCATTCTCATGTCTCTTTGTTCAAATACCACTCGTGCGGCGTTCACTACAATCATGACTGTGCTTCTTGTGACCAGTTAACAACGACTACTCACGACCAGTTCCGAATTCGTTAGTTGCCTATCTCTTCTCGCAGGGAGAAGTGAAGAGAGAAGTGAAGAGAGAAGTGAGGAGAGCAGTAAAAGAGGAGCGAGGAAGACGAAGGGTCAAAGCAAGCTATTAACGATAACAGAAATTTGTATTTCCGCTCTGCCTCTGCAATTTTATACTAACGGTAAGGTTTAGTTGGGCTCCTTGTCTCTCCGCTCAGAAGCACACGGAATATTGTATTTTTGGGTAGCCAGAAGCCAGTAACGTTATCCAAAATCCATGGAACCCCGTAAGTTACAATCTCAATGTCCCTTTCTCTAATTACTCCCAAAAACCATCACACTCCTTTTAGTGAAAACCAAAACAAAACCTCAGCGAGCGGCGATTACGACTGCCATCCAAAGTATCATGACGCCTATGCCCTTATTACCCTCTCTTCTTATTTTTCCTCAAGCGCCTTACTCCTCGTTTCCTGTCTGGCGAATTCATAGTCCAGCTTTCCGGGAATCACCCTCCAACACCAGCCACACCAACTCCTCACTTTGGCCTGCATCTCCCGTCCAAGGATATCGCCTCGATCCCGCTCGTCAGGCCACTCGGGGACGCAAGCCCCGACCTTGACCATCCGGACCAGCTTCTTCTTGACCACACCACCAATTCCTTCGATTTCATGCCTGTCATAGCCAGGCTTCAGCATAGGACTAGGGGTCCTGCGCTCGAGGCTGGGCCCGGCCAAGGTAGAACCAAGACCACCCGTCTGCGATGATGAGGAAGCGTTGCTACCGTTCACACTTCCGTTACTACTGGTGGTGCTGGCAGTATCGGTGCCCCACAGAGCCATGGAGATGTTGGAATCATTCGAGACAGTGGTGGTAGAGGGAGACGGAGTGTACACATAGGAGCCGTCGGCTTCTTGAGCATCTTCGGCATCACAGTCGATCTCCTGTTCCCGCTTCCGGGCAGCACAGCAATCACTCCCGCGTCCGCAAATAACGCCACGATCGCCTTCGCCGATGCCTGTGCCGAGACCACCGAGGACATCGGTGTATTGGTTTCGCCATCTCCAGATGCTGATGATAGGTGACGTGTCAGAATGAACCGAATGTGAGCATAGTATGTAGGGGGACTTGGCAGGTCAACATACCTCTTGTAGTCGTAATCATCGTTGCGTATTGTTTTCCCACATGGCTGGCAAAGCCAGACTCCATCTGTGTCACATCTGCAGATGGCTCTTTGCACATCATCCGATTCAACGGAAAACCCACGGCCGAGAGGTGGCTTTGTGAGATTCCCTATGGGCGTCTTTGCGCATGTTACGCACAGCCGGCGGTGGCGGTCGCGGAGCACAATCGGTGCCGGAGGTTTGATGGCACAATTCTAACAACAATTTCGGACTGGTCAACTCTCTAGGTAGCTCAAAATCACACATGGTAGTAGTATCATGTACTTACCCGACAAACGACAGTACCGCAACGGCGACACCCTCCAACCAGATCGCGAGCGCATTGGCCGACCTTGCAAGGCTTATTGGATCGTCCCAGCTCTTGCATGTAAAACCAGTTGACGGTACGAGCGCGATATCGCAGCACCGCATCGGGATCGATAGGAAGGTGTTCATTGGAGCAATGTAAGGTAGAAACAAGGAGCATCTTGCGGTACTGCAGGAGGTTCCCCCTTATTTGCCGGCAGGTTCGCGACAGGTTATCGAGCGTGTTCAAGTCAATGGAGGCAGCCAGAGACATGACGATACTGGTTATGGGAAGACTCGTGTCAGTAATTCACCCCTCCCGTTCGCGTGAAGAGAAGGAGAGGGGAGAATCCGAAGACATGTCAACTAGAAAACGAAAGAAAACGGGGTAGAAGGTGGTGGTGGTGGTGGTCGCCTACGGATAGCACCCCAAAGCCAGTGTCATGGAGTTCTGGTTTGGATTCTCCCTGACAGCGGGCTCGTGAGCCTCCTCGCGATGTTTCTCAGTGTTCACGCTGCCCACGCCCTCCATTTTGGTCCGGCCGATGTCGGTGACGATGCCCGTTCCAGCACCATTCCTAGCCGGCAGGTTGAGGCCATGATGAGAAGGCTGAACCTGGCCAGGGTCGACATCTTCGTCTTCGAGATCTACAAAGACGGCCATTGTTTGATTGCCGGGGATGCGGTTGTTGACTCGGGAGATCACAGGATCGAGTGTCGTCGGTGTTTTGATGGTTTATTGTGGTAGCGGGGGTGAACCAGATGACCAAGAACGCCGGGTTCACTGTATCACAAAGACAAAACAAGATGGATAAAGGAAAAGCAATGATAAGACTGGGGATTATTAAAACATTGAAGAAGCCAAGTCGACCATCACAAATCACACAAAGAAGAGACAGAGGAAGGGATGCTGTTTTTTTTCGACGCCAGCTTGGACCGACGTCGTGATGGAGGATGACGATTCATGGAAGGAATGGAACAAGACCGCTTTCCTCGTGCTCCACAATCTTGTAAGCCGCTGTCCAATCAAGGCGAGTTCCAGGCTGCCAGTGGGAGTGCATTGACAGCACGATGGCTCCACACTGTTACCACTGAAACCTCTAACCAGGGCACTAAACCGGGCTTGAGCCGGGCGGTCTTGCAGGGGATAATGTTAGAGATCAGTTCATAGGTAACTTTCATCCACGCTTCTGGAAGGTGGGGCATCCAGAGCTTCTTTCTCGTGTCTCTGTTTAGCTGTGCCTTCCCGGGCATTCTTCACCGCGTTGAAGGCAATGACGGGAACATGTGACCTTTTGCATTTTCTTCCCCTTGCACCAACTTCAGTTCCATTCGGTTAGCAATGGGTGATCCTGGGCTCTCTATTCGCAAGAACATTACACCGCACACGGAATTTGAGAAGCAACTAATTAATTCTACCTCCTCCAGCTTTTCGTGGTTTGCTCGGTGTGCCTTTGCGATGGCATACTTCTTTTGTGAGAACTTCGCTCAAGCTCGATCATGACGCGCATTTCTTAACGCCTTTTCCTTTAAGCAATGGACACTTGAGCTCAACACGGTCGGCGCCGTAATATGCTCGAGTCGGCGAGCCAACATTTGAGTCCTGTACCAAGACATTCGGTGCCGCCAGCATAACACTGCCCCTTGATGTTCGGAACCGACTAGTGCTGAGGCTCAACGCCGATCCGTCAATCAATCCGGAGTCTCAGAAGCCGGAGGGAGAACAGCCTTGACTACGGCGTCGGCATGTCAAAGCTGCCTATCGTCTTGGCGATACCTATGTCGTCCAACATACAAGTGCCGACTCGGCACACTATCTGTGCCACTGTGGCCCCGTATCGCCGTATTTGATGTACGAACACAGCGCAAGGTCGAGAGCGAGCTAACGCCGGCACCCAAAGCGCCTCATGTTGGCGAGATGCTGTGCTGTGTTCGACCACGTATCTGGCCAGCGGCAAACCTTTCGGGGCCATGCGCGTGGCGCTGAGACTTAATTTGGGGATTGAAGGAGATTTTCGTCAGTACCACAGATTCGTCGAGCGACCCTTGGTCTTTAAGACAGCTTCGATTTCGTCCTTCCGTCCCGCGAGACCGGTCTCAAAAATAGAAACGAGCTCCCTGAGACCACAAACAGCCCCATCACGCCCGCTACGACATATCGTTTCCTTGTCACGAATCCAGTTCCGAACCACACCCACCCGCACATCTCCTTCCGATACCTTGACGCGTTGGATTGGTCGGGATGCATTTAATCTAGACAAGGCAGTCAGGCTTACCCGCCCAGGTGGCTGGACCGCCTCTCAATTCTAGACCCCTTACCCAAGCAACAATAGGGGCTGTTTGACACTGTCAATTTCCTCGCATCAGGATCCCTTGAATGAAGATTGAGGACTGACGGCTGCTTACGGGAACCCCCAATCTTTAACATGAAAATGCCATTGCCAGGAGTTGGTATGATTCTACGAGCGAACATGCCCAAAAGCTCTACCTATCACCAATGTTTATGCCCCTCCTTTGTTTGCCGCCCGTGGGGGTCTTCACGAGAAAGCGCTGCGTGGCCAAAGGCGTCAGTCAATCTTGCGCCTGCATCACTCTACATTCACGGTCAGCCGCAGGCGCGGCCTGATACGGCCAGCTCATCATGAAAAATCAGCGAAAAAGGTTTGGAACGATAACCTTCAATGTTGCTGGAGATAGAATGGCTGGCTAACGTCTGATGTCAGCAGAAACGGTATAACCTTATGGGGCGCCCCGGTTTCCCCCACCGTTACTTTCAACCCCAAAAGTGACACTGCCTGGTATGCATTGCACCTACATGGCGCTACGCTTTTCGTGGAGAAATAGTGAATATTGGCGCCAGCTGGATGGTCAATACCCAGATTCGCTCGACCGCAGCGAGCTGAAGACCCTTGCTGCGTGCCACGGTGTCATTCGAGCCTTCGCTATTGATTCTTATCAAAAAAAAAGGCCCCTCTTCAGACAACATCAGCCAGTCGAGACTTTACAGCTCACCTTATTCTTTACGGCTTCCGAAGGCTTGCTTCGTGGCGTGCGCCGCTTCTCTGTCGGAACTCTCATCTCACCAAGAGCCAATTTCTCTTCCCGATGATCTACATGGAGGCAAATCAGCCCTCGTGAAAGAGGATTTGAGGGCGTCTTGGGAGTCCAAGGCACCTCAAAGGTGTTCAATTGCCAAGCTCGTATTCATTGAGGGGCAATCAAGAACATTACAACAACCCCCATGGCCGTGGTTTCACGGTGGGAACGGGCCGTGCAACCGCAACCACGTTTGGAAGGAGAAACCCACGGCGGCTGGCTGGCCTCGAGTTACGGGGGTTCTGGGATCTAAACCTTAAATGGATGATCTACGCCGGCCAGTCCGAGGCTGGGGATAACGGCCTTTTACATCTTTCATAGAACGACATGTTAGGACTTCACCGCCCACTTTATCAGCTGTGATATGTCGTCTTGAAGGATTCATCGTTATGGTTGGCGGCAACATAGCATTGACTAATGTACCGTACAGAGCCCAGGCGCCCGCTACTGCTGTGCGAGTTACTCCGACTTCATTACATACAATTAGATGGCCAGCCGTCTTTAAGCCACATCCATCAATGCTTGGCCGAACAGGTTCTATAAGTTACACAACAGATGAGGTGTTGTTATGCAGGCCATGCTACACCCATACATGATACTCAGGCTAATCTACTATCGACTGCTTACCCCTGGACTCAACAACTTTCTTTCCGCTCATTGAACAATTGTTCACTTGCAGAATGCCGAACCGTCGAATCAGAATGCAGAGATGGCACAAGCCTAGGAGATCTCCAAGACATACGGGATGCGAAGCGTGGATCACATTACGTTCTATTTCCTGATACAGTTCATTGTGGCCTCGGTTGGCTCGGACGTCGAGTAGTACGGGTATACATTGAGGCCTAATAATCGGGCTTGTATGTTAGAGCGATGGTAGACGTCTCAGTAAGTCGTCTCGCTATCTTGTCACCGTTATCATGCCGTTCACCCGCCCGTTTTGGTATATGGACGAATGGTGTAAGAAGACACGGCTGAATACGTCGTAAAGGGTGACATTGCATACCATGAACTCTAGGTATCAGAAGTTTGGACATCCTGCGTGTCACTCTTTGCGACCTCAGCTGTATCCTAACGTGAGGTCTGCTTGTGTAGGACGCGGCCTGGCTAAACCGCTTATCACTCAGTGGCAGGGGGAAAACGCACAAATGTGGTGAAAGTGACGGTTGAGGAATACTGTGGCGGTCGAGATCGAGGAGTGCGGTGCCACGCATCACCAGCTCAGCTGCTTGGTAAAACAAAGGCGGCGGCATATGAAGTGACGGTGCAGATTGTCAGGGATTTATCCATCACATATTCCTATCAGTTACGAAGAGGAATATCTCTGGTCGTTCGTCGTGCGTCTTGGGATCTGCCACTTTCACGATTAAGCTTATTGCGAATGTTTACTAGCGACATACATATCCCCTTTTTCACCATTAAACACTGCAGTGTTTACCTCACACAGATCAGAGCAATCCTCTTCCCCCTTGACTGAGCATAGTTCGGTATCTGTGTTGGCCTTTCGGCAAGGTCGCCAGACTCCATCGTTTCCTTTCAGCTATTAAACGGATGAATCAGAGACGACAATGAAGGCCTTCCGATCATACTTCACGCCCTCCTCGACGGCGGCCGAGCGGGACGATGGACGGGCGACTCGTAAGAGTGGCGAAGACAACAAGTTCACTGAGCAGCAACGCGAGAAACTCTCTGGGCAGAAATCAACAGGGTTACCATCAAGTCCTGCAACATACGATGACAGTGCTGTTACGCCTCGTTCGATTACCCCGTCTCCAATGCCTGGAAATACACTCACAGTACCAGGTGCGGCTCACCAGGGCCCACGAAAACAAATTGGGCAGTTGACAGCTTCTGCTGCCGGTTCGACCTATTCATTCCGTCATTCTACTATTTTTCCGGTTGGAGATGCCCGAAACGGCGATCTCGATGCGGTGACCGAGATCAGAAGCGACATGATGGTCAACTCGCTTTTCGAGCAAATGTGCCGAAAACAGTACAGCACGGGCTTTGATCCATACGAAGGCGTCGTGTTGAAGAAGTCCCGGGGCAACTTCACCTGCTGCCCACCGCAAATGGCGGCTATACCCGATTCACTTTACGCCATGATCACACAGATGAATGTCCGATGTGCCATGACAATCAACACACACGTCGTTCGGACAATCCTGAACGGCATTGGCAGGAGGAGTGATATCAACTTTGTTCCGTTGCCCGACGGGTTGCGCGTTCAAATTCTGCGCACCATGTCGGATCTACCCAAGGGCCAACTCCATCAGTTTGCTGCCTTCATCGAGGACGCCAAAATCCTGGTAGTGTGGGCCGACGAGCCCGAGAAGATTCTCTCCTGGGCCGAAACCCTCGAGAAGAAGCTCATTGAGTCCATTTGGGGCACTAACAACGACGCAGATGATGATGATGCTGATGAGAAAGGAAATGTAACAACACAGGTTGAAGAAGTCGACGGAAATTCGTTGGAGCAGGCGAAGGAGCACCGCCCGGTGAGATTAGAAAGCGCTTGCATCGTGGCTCTAACCATGGCGCTGTGTGTTGCTTGTCTCGGTCTCGGATGGA